CTCCTTCTGCCCTCAGAGACAAAGTCATTGTTTCTGTACAGGCTAGAGCTCTGAGGTTGGAAGACCGACCAGGTTTCTGGATGTTCTGACGGATAGAGCAGAGATGAGTGAGGCTTTGCAGCAATCTCAGCAATCTTTGCTGGCCCCTCAGTCCCTTCTTGAACATGAGGCAGAAGATTTAGACAGCTGAAAGCAACCACCTAAGGCTTTTGCTGCACAGGAGGAGTGCAAAGGTCACTTTCGCCTCCATGTTCCCTGCACCTTTCATTGAATGTCTGTAGTTCTCCTAGTCTGGTTACAAGCAGCAACACTGGAATACACCAAAAATAAACTTAGGCCTGTCGTCCCCCTCACATGGGCCCTCATTCTACCACTCCTGCTGGACACCTTCTATAGCTAAAGCTACTACTGGATATACACAGGGTCATGCTGCTTGTGTGCCACATGAAGCTTTATCACCCAGTGTAAGCTAAAGTTCTCGGCAGGGAAAGGGAAGGCATTAGAAGAAGCAGAAAAGAAGCAGAAGAAGAAGCAAAAGAGCAACAACTCCAAACACATTAAACCAGCTAGTAAGCATTTTCTTTAACCTAACACAAGAAGTGTTTCCCTTCTAAGGGAAACTAAGATATGACAAATGAAAACCATCTGACAGTTTAAGTCTTAAGCAGAGTTTGTGGGAGTAAACCTGACCAAAAAAAATATTGCTGGTTCTGTTGTTGTTTTTATTGTGTTCTTACTGTTTGCATTTTATTGCTCTTAATATCATGATGTTTTTTCTGTATTTTATTGGTGTTACACTGGCTTGGGAGGGCTTCTGCCCGGAAAGGAGCCAAGAAATATTTTAAGACAAACACATCCTGTCAAACTGCTTGAGTTAACTTGTCACATATTAACTCTGATCAAAATAAGTTATTCCTTATCCTATCTACCTAAAAAATAAACAAATATCCTCAAATCAACCTCTCCCATAATGCCATTTTTTTCACAATAATCTGTTTAGCCATTTTATACGTTTAAGGTATAGCATCAACTGTCTTGTCCTACTGATCACATTATAATGGTGTATGTGATTTGCCTTGCCCGTGATAGGGCAGACCTATAAACACATGGCTTTACTCTTTCCTTTTTCTTATTTGTAAAGGAATAGACTGGAGAAAGACACTGTGTTCAAATGCTTCCATTAATTAAAAGAGACAAGTGAAAATAAGTATCTCAAGGTACTTGTTAAAGAGTGAGATTTTACAAATAGCTAGGGGCAAAGAGTTCCAGAGATTAGGTGCTGCCAAAGAAAACGAATGGAACATCAGATTTAATTTTCAGTGAGAACTAAGTGCTCTAGAAGGGGTGTACAGAGAAGGAAGATATTCGCTAGAGCAGAGCCAGGCAGAAGTTAGATCTCCATATGTTCTGGGCCAACTCATAACATTTCTGACTATTCAATATCCTGACAGACACTTCTGGAAGTTAAAGTCCAAAATACCTTCTGCCTACTACTACTCTACAACAACATATAAAAGCAAAAGGTAAAATTTTAAAATGCATACAATAAGAGAGGGAACCAAATGTGAAAATAGAAATGGACATGAAGCACAATTCTATGCCCATTATGCATTTAGAAATAAAGCCATATGTGTTCAAGGACACTTAAAAGTCTATGTGCACAAGACTGCAGCTGAACATCTACATGGAAGATGAGACTACTACACAGTGGATTTTTTTTTTCAATTTCACATAAGACATGCTTTTGCCTCTTACCCAGTGCAAGCTATTATCTCTAGTGACACCCTGTGGTAGTGATTTTTGTCCACAGGCACAATATACTAATATCCCTTGATATATAACATAGTGTTGGATGGTGGTAGTTGTTTCAAAAAAGACCATCAATCTGCAGAGAGTTCTGCAGTGTAAATTAGCCCCCCCCCAAAAGGCAGGGAGGTGGGGAGTCCTCTGCTCCAGGAAGTTTGCAAGGTTACATTTACAGAGTAAATGTCAACAGCAAACATTTTAGAAGTACATAGCAAAAATGGGTCAATATATCTGAATACTCAGAAATAGGTTCCACTGAGTTCAGAATGGCTTAACTCCCATGTAAACATGCAAAGAACCACTTTTCCTGATGGGCTGCAGTCCTGGGTGGGTTCATGTGACATGACAGACTGCACTGGTTTTCGAATCTTTGTCTATCACATTGTTCTAACCCCATTGTGGTATTTCAGTGTGGTATTTTAGTTTTTAGTAACCAAAACAGAAGGATCTGTTCCATATGGTTACTCAGTATCACAATATTGTGTTGTGTCACTTGACCCCAGAAAATACAGATCATTGTGGTGCCAAGGCCAAAACTAGACAGCTGCTTTACAAGAGTGGCACATTGCCACCCTTACGAAGCAGCTAGCCAGAGAACACCACTGACAGCTGTTTTGTGCATTGTTCAGAGGCATCCTTGTTTTACCCATCCCTAGACCAAAAGATCTTCTTTCCAGTAGGCACAGGTGATTCGCTGGCCAGGCCCGGGCAAGGAGAAGCACTGCACAGCTGATTTCCCCACTGCTGTCCTGGATAAGTCAGATGGAAGTTCCTCATGTGTGGATAAGCAGGAGGGATAAACATCAGCTGGGCAGTGGTGCCAGCTGGTGGAAGGGCTTCTTAGTTGATTCCTTTGCTCATTCCCCTTTTTTGGTTCTGCCTGCAAGAGGTGTCCCCAACTCAGTGCTCTCCTGAGCACCTTTCCTGCAAGTAGCAGCGATTAAGGGGCAGGCGCCTTCTCACCCCCACTTTTCAATGAGGCATCACCAGCCTAGCATCCACCCAAGCACCTCTCTGGCAAGTGGGAACAAGAATGAGTGGTGGTGGTAGAATCAGCTGACGTCGGCACAGCACCCAGCTGAGCCTAGTTGCCCAGTTGCTGTTTGCTCCTTCTCCTCCTGCCTCCCTCAGGTCCTTTCACCACTGCTGACCAGCTGCGGGGCAGAAATTTGCACGCCATGGCAGCACTGTGGGGTTGCTTGCTGTGCCATGTGAACGCAGCCATCAGGTTTTTAGCACGTACCTAAAATGGTTGCTGAGTTCAATTGGTGCCAATGGTTACCTGAAATAGATTTGAATGTTAAGAAATGACACAACCATAGAATATTTTGCACTTCCAAGTGGCTCCAGATTATAGATGTAATTTCTTAACATAATTAAGTGTAAACTCCTTGCATCAATACCACCGGTTATCTAAATAATTTGTGTAATTGCCAACCCAAAGTATCTATGGGTTGAATGCTCCTTAATCAAATCTGTACTCTATACTCTAAATTATCTCTACTGTGTTAAAATAAAGTACATCTCAAGTACAACTGCCACCTATTTTAAAAAGGTATGTCTTTGTAACTGTTGGAAAGTTAGGCATCTGATATGCATGCTTCCCCACTGATGTCAGTGATTGATCATGCACTGTATTCAGACTGCAGTTTAATTTTCTTCCCATAAAGTGGAAAAAGAATTGTAGGAATGAGAAAATATCATAGGACAAAAGGCATGTTATCATCAGGACAGAGGCTGGGTCCTGTGCCAGGTAACGTACCTGTCACATTTATTTTCATTCAGAACTCCACTGCAATCTATGTTTTAGCAAATGTTCCTACAACAAAATCAAGGCCATTACCATCTTTTTTATTTAGAACAAAAAATAAGACTGAAAAATGTTCAGTATTTAACAGATTGTACGACTTTCTAAAATGCAGAACAATTCTGCTGTACCATTTTGAGGCATCTGATCCATACACACTAAATATAAATGTAGTTCTTTTTACCATTTTGGTCATGGCTTGCATTATGTAATTATGTGTGTTGCTTTTGCATGAATAGAAATTAAACTAAGTTAGCTAAGATCAATGCAAAATGGAAGTCTATTGGAAGTGCGACGTATTATTTTTTAAACTCTTAGGAGAGTTTTGCCAGGCAAATTGTGGTTAAATGATAGTTCTTAGTGGGTGCGACTTCTGGGAGTTATTCGATAGTCATAAATGACTGTCCACACTATTAAAAGGCTTCACTCACCCAGCTAAATTAAGAGAATGCCTTTCTTAGCTGAAAAAAGGCGAACATTGCTTTGCTTTAGAGGCAGGGGTTGGCTTGTGGCCCTTGAAATGCTTTGATCTTGCACTGGCTCGTTGGCTATACTGTGTACTAGGACCCAGGGGAGTTACAGGCCCAAATATTTGGATGGCCACACACTGCCCACCTCTGGTATAGGTTTTCTTTTGAAATTGGTTTAAAATCTTTTTACCAATCTTGGCACTGCTTCTGTCAAGGTGTTTTGCAACCCTCCATTCCATGATTATTGCTATACAGGTATCTAAAGGTGTTGATTCCTTCCTCTAAATCAAGCCAGTTTTGACAAAATAGGATACAGACAGTACAATTACACTTCCTTTTAATTCTCTAGTTACTTTAGGAAACAGCATTTTATTGAACTTTAACATGTTTATATTTCTGAGACAACCCACTAATTTTTTTTTACTTGCAGAAAAAATATCCCATGGCAAACCACTGGAAAATCCATTTGCACCTGAATAAACATAACAGCAGCTTTATTTCAATTTATGGAGAAATCAATGGAAACACTAGTGGGCTACATTTAGAACTACTGAAACCCTAAATACATGTTTCTGTTCATCCAGTGATACTGCCAAAATATGCTACCAAGTTTTCCTTTTGTGTTCTCCATACACCTATCCAGTGTCTCCTTTACTATGTTAAGTTATATAATTAAAGATGAAAGTTAAGTTCCACCTAATTCCTGCAAAGGATAGAGTTTGCACAGCAGGGATGGCTGGCTAGTCATGTTGTGCACCAAACAGCAACGCTATGCATAGTTCAATTCTGCATTATGCAAGGGATCTTGAGCTCCACTTACAGCATTCTACATGGATTATAAATAAAGAGGCAAAGGAGTCAAGTTGGTACCCGTGTCAGTTGCTACATTTCTCAAGTCAGAAAAAGACTAAAACTAAGCTAATTAAACAGTGTGCATGATTTATTGAATCTCATGTGAACATTAACAGTCAAACATAAATATTTAATAAGTTACATTCCTGAATGAGTTTCACTGAAATGATAGTCAGGCTTCTGATATTACTATTCTGTACATTGTAAACTTCTTTAAAAAAGATTTGTGTCTGCAAACACCTGATGCAGTCAGCTCCTGAGTTTTCTATATATTTAAATGATATCTTTAGCTGATCCTAAGTTCAAAAATACACAAATTATGCCAGTTGAAATCACACTGTGACACTTACTTTTTAAGATGCCAACTGTTGATGGTAAGAGTTCCGGCCAGAGTGCATCTAACAGTTCATGTAGCCAATTTCAGAAGCAAAGTATCACATAAGTGTTAAGCCAACCAAACATCAGTAATGGGGCTACTGAAAGGTCCATCCACCATTTATTGTTTTATAGAACCTAGCCCAGCACACTGTCCTCAACCAAGATCAAGATGAAAGGTTACAACTCAAAGAAGCACTCAGTTGTACTTAAGAGAACCTGTCCACCAACACACACACTTTTAGTTGTAACTGCAACATTATTTTGCTCATACTGTGATTCTGTTTGAAATCCATGGGAGTTCAAAGCAAGCAGGGGGGCTAGCACTATGTTAAATGTGTACAATTGTACAGAAGTTCAAGAGTGAACATGTCAGTCCTATGGGGGACACCTGGGTAAAAATAAATGGAGAAACATTATGGTTGGGGTATTAGAGGCTGCTACACCAAGATGCTGATGTGGTTGATACTTTCCTGGAACAAATTACAGATTTCTATGGAAGCAAGAAGTGATCATTTCTATACTCTCTGGGAACCCTTGGAGAATGAGTAAGTCACAGGACTGGAGATAAAGAAGTAGTCTAATGCTGGGGGGAAAGAACATCCAAAAAGTCGGAGCTTAGTAACCTCAATTTCACCTGGAAAAACATTATTAAGGAGTCAATTTGTAAACACCTAGATAATGCAGTTAATAGCAGAAACCAGAATGGATTTCTAAGATAAATCTTGCCAGGTTAATTTGATTTACTTCTCTCATCAGGTTACTTAGTGGACTGTAGGAATGTTGCACATGTACTTATCTTAAATTAAGCAAAAAACTTTAAGTTCCATCTGACTGTGATAATTCCATCAGATGGAGTCATACCTGTTTGGAAAACCATAACGAACTCATCACGTTTAGTTCCACTGTATTCCACATTTCATTTCCTATATTATGTCCTATAGGAGCTGCATTTCAAGAAGGATTTAGACAAGCAGGAATAAAGTAAATAGGAGAGCACCAAAGAGCATGTTCTATGAATAAATGGTCAAGAGACTGGTCACATGAAGATTTTTGAGGGGGACATGAAGGTTCTCAACATGCTGAAATACTGTCTTATACGATGTGCAAGAGGGTAGATTGCAGTTGCACACTATAGAAACTTAAAATGGCAATGATGGGAATAATTTACCTCCCTCAATGAAGTCCTAAAGCAGAAGCTGGGCAGCTATTAGAAACACTCTAGCTATGGATTTTACACACTGAGAAGGGGATGGCCTACAAGACTATCTCCAAACATGAGTTTAGGTGTGTGGAAGACTGCAGATCATTTTGTTTGACACACATATCCTGAAGATCATTTTTCAGCATGCTTGAAGGGGATGAAGAATCTTTTAATCCAATTTGTAGGTGAACATTTTTATATAACTACTTCTACTATATTTTTAAGTATGTTTTGTATTTTGTAAAAAGTTAAAGTTAGGAAATGGGACATACATTTTTTACATGCATCTACTAGCTACCAGGTATATTTAGGAGTGGATTAAATTTACAGTCAATGCACAAAATTACCACATGCATAATGCCAAAATCTAAATTGAATGGTGAATTAAAATCTTAACCCAAGCACCGTTTGTCATCTAAGATGTGAGGTGAATCTTTAACTTAAAAATATCCACACCATAAATATATTCTAAAGTGGCTTAAATGCTTTAGCAAGGCCTAGAAGCATTTTGCTTAGCCATTTCTATTCACGAGCAAACTTAAGACACACAAGTATCTCTGAACTTTGAAACACAATTGTGTAAGAAAGCTAATAGCTTAGCCGTCATGCCATTTTAAAAAATTGTATTCATGTACAGATAGAAGTCCTAACTACATTGACTTGGAGAAAAGTTCCCATTGAAATCAACATAGATTATGTCCAAGTAAGTACATTTAGGATTTGGCTGCAGCAATGTTATCAAAATTATCCTGAAAATATTATATTTTTATTGCTCTTCATGGTCTCCTATATTTACTCTAGCAGTAGTAGATTATTTGATCTGGCTCTTTCATCTTTTTTACCAAGGAGTTAGATAATTTCCATAATTCTACATATATTTCCATTACCAAATCAGAGTATCTGCAATAGATATTAATCCTACTGTCCTAGTCATAAAAAAAAAATATCTTTGCAGATCTGCAACCTAGACACAAGAGACTGATACCTAGTTCAGAGTTAAAATGGTATCAATGCTAGCTACTGCTGCTAGCTTTCATGCTTTCAGTGTGAAAACCTTAAGCTTTTCACAGGAATCTTTAGTGTGAAAAGTAAAAATCTTTTGTGAGCATAGACACGATACAGGGGATCTGCTTTTTTCCATGGAAGCCTGGCTGGTTCGAATATGAACTGAATTCTGCAACCTTGCGATTCACACGTGTGAGGATCTGCATAAGTTCAAGTTTTTTAGCATGTTGTTTCAGCATTATGCAAAGTGACTGTATAAACCAAGATCCATCTGATGAGTTTCTCCAAGAATAATAGCCTATAAAAGAAAAAGAAATGCATCACACGTTTTTTAAAATCATATTATAAAAGTCAATGCTTTGCTCTCTGAAAGTATTCAGAAATTAACAAACCAAGTGTTAAATGAAGGTTTTAAAACAGGATATTAATGTAGTTAATAATGAACAGCCAAAGGATTATTCCGAGCACTCAGTAAAAACCTCCAAAACTCAGTCTGAGCTTAGAGTATTCCCCCTTCCACTTGCAGCTGGCACAGAAAAAAACCATGCCAGCTGCTTTGCTGCAGTTGCAAAGATGGCCTTAAAGAAAGGGTTGAATGGACTTTCTGGGGAACAGGGACTGGAAGAATTAGTCCTGCTATTAATGGAAGCATTCGGGCAGCATCTCAGCCTCCTTTCCTCCTGCTCTGAGGAACAACATCTAAGACATTGAAATTAGTCCTTAAGTGTTTTGCAGGATGGAAGGGGCATGAAGACAACCTTTACTCCTTTATTCCCTCCAGCTTGCATGGGATGCTGTAATCCTTTATGTTAGGAGTGTTCTGGCCATCCAGAATAGACTGCACCCTTAATCACCCTCTGCCCTCCATAACTAGTACAGAGCGCCAGTGTGATACAGTGGCAAAGAGTGCAGGACTGGGACTCAGATAATTTGGGTTCTAGTCCCCACTCAGCCATGGACTTCACTGGGTAATTTTAGACCAGTCATAGACTTTCAGCCCAAACTAGCTCACAGGGCTATTGTTGTGAGGAGAATTATGTAAGTCACCTTGAGTTTTTTGGAAAGAAAAAAAAGTAAGGTAAAAAAAAAAACCACCAACCAAATGAACTAAAGAAGCATGATCTGAAATGAAGTTTTCATTCAATACTCAAAGGTCCTTAATTAACCTCATTCTGCCTTCATTTGATCTGTCCTTAGGTCTATTATAATCTACTCAGTGATGTCCAGATTTGGGTCAAGTTGTAGTTGAATACTACTTGTATATTGATCTGGAGTAATTAGAAGTAGAATTTTTCCATGCAGTAAGTTCCATGCAGTAATAAGCCCATATATGTGGATAATCTATTAGTAACATTTTCGTACTTCTATTAAAGCCATTTTAAAAGAACTTGTCTGAACAATTTAGTTCTTGGGACAACCCTGACTTATTTTTAAAAAAGACAAATTGTAGGCTTATGCTTTACATCTGTTTAGAAAACAAGAATTTAAGAAATTGCTTTACAGAAAAAAGGGGGGAAATCCAAATTATTAAGGACCTCTGTTGGCTAGGACATACAGTGCTAAGTTAAAAAATCTATGGGCTGGATATAGATAATGTCATGACTAGCTTGAGTACTCTTTGATGGGTCTATTCTAAGAATGTTAAGCACAGATCCAATACTGTGTATTTTGACACCTTCATTCATCTTACCAGGGGCAGCAGAATTTATCTTACCAGGAGCCGTAGAATAAGCATACAAGAAATCTGCTTCTACAGGTATTTTCTGACACATGTTTTCATCTGGGCTGCTGTCTGTTTCAATACCAGAGTCAAGTTCTGTTCCTCTGCAAGCCTACACAAAGTTAACAGAAAAGTAAATAGTAACTATAAATATTATCATTAATCTCTGCTCACTCATGACAACAACTGTATACAAATAAATACACAGGAAATAAAAAGCCATTTTAATTTGTTATATGTTTATAGCAATGGGAAGTTTATGGCAACTTGAAAGCTTTGACATGGTTTTAGTTTCAACTGGAACCTTGCAGTTTTGCGACACCCAGAAGTTGCTCTGGGTCAGATCTAAAGTTCACTGCACAAAACACACTCTGTTGGAAAGGTGGTCACAGATAAAAGTACATCTTAAATTCCATTTTACCACTGGAAACAATAATGAGGAATTTGTTTTGTAAATTGTTTATTGCTTGGTATTTGGTCCTTTTACATTAATGACAATCCTGGCTAATAATTCAGAAAAATTTCAGGTATGCAAGTTTTTTTCTAATTAGCACAAAGACAAATATTTGCACCATTACTTAAATATTTATATAACTACACAAGAATGATTCTGCTAGCTCCTGGTAGAAATGTCAGAAGACAATGATGCATAATTATTTCTCCAAGTCTTTACCTATATACTCCAGAAGAGTTCTGCCTTGTCACCACTTTCCCATTCCATGTATTTATGAAATAACTGGATGAGATCATTCAACTCATCAAGAGGAGAGAAGGGGCAGCCAGTAAAGACCACTGCACTTTCTTTGCATATTATAATAAAATGACTATAATCACATGCTGGGGAAATGAGCATGACTTGGAGTATCATGTAATATTTACCAATAAAATAAACATTACATCAATTATTTTAATAAGGAATAGAAGACATAGCTATGCTCAGAGCTGTTAAAAAAAATTGTCCCCATGGCTCCACATTTTTCAGACAATTACATCTCAGTCTTATTGTGTACTTTTTAGAAACTAGTTTGGTGAAGACCAGGTAGTAATATATTAACACTTTGCTTTAAATATTTTATTCATAATTCCAAAAGAAAGTATTTCATAATCCAAACTTGAATTTTTCAGGAAAACAAAAAAGGTCAGGGGGACAGAATACCTTGCCTCTCTCACTTACACCCCCCCTCCAATCTCTCCAGGCCTTTACATCTGTGCATGGATCAAGTTCAAAGAGATTCTTAGCAGATGCCCCATAATTGTGATCTCTTCTGTTGGAGGTCTACTTTGTGCAATTACCTGAATAAAAAAGAGCTTCGGCTTTCCTGCCAAGGTCTTGCATCTGTCTCCTCTGAAGATACTTGTTAACATTTTCAGTTCTAGAGGACCATCTGTACCATAGATCAGTCCATCCTCTCCATGGCTTAACAAGACGCAAGCAAAACTGCTTCTCTTGCTGTGGTCATCCCTGGCGACTATAGGAGAAAATGAAGAATACTGAAGTGTTCGGAAGTTCTGGATATTCATTTGACATTTCTTCTCGGACAGTGCATGGTAACAACTTTCTTCAAAACAGCCAGGCCAAGCATTATTTTTGCTTTTAAAATGATGTGGGCAACTTGTGACCCCTTAAAGTTTAAGGGGTCCATACAGGCTTAAACTGTTTAGGCCTAAAACTCCCATGATTCTTCAATATTGGCTACATAAGCCAGGAGGTATGGGAGTTGTAGGCCAAAGTTGCCTGGCCATACTCTACAATGAGGGTTTTAAATGTAAGGTAAATATAATTATTTTGAAGAACCATTAAGCCAAGTTTTCAGTAATTATTTTTTTAAATAAGGGCTTGTACTAAAATTGTCATTAGGAGTTTAGAGAATATAAAACACAAATTAATAAATTTAAGCTGTACAATTCACAGCTTAAGGATTGTTAAGGAACAATTCACATCAATCTTTGACCTCAGTAAGGATCCTGGATGAGCAGGCCAGTTTACTGATATAATCATGGTTCTATTTGTGGGTCTTACATTTAATGCTACTTCTCCCAGAGAACCTCACTGCCTCAAAGTCTTAAAGTGCTTTTAGAAATAACCTAAGAACTTATGCAACACCCTGTGTGCCCCATATTATAAAGGGCAAACACTAAATGAAACATTTGGAAGTAATTTTACTTCCAGATTTTCCCAGTATTTTTGTGATAGTTTCTGCATTAAAGAAAGTGAAATTCGACTTTCTGTGGCTGGGCCAAGGAACAAAAGCTGCAAATGGTGCAGAATTCATCTTCTGGTTTTCTGCTGGGAACAGTTTAAAGAAATCATGAGAACTGCACTGGCTGCCAATACACTTCCAGTTGGGAGTTCAAACCTTGCTAATGATATCTAATTCCTCTCTCTTTGTACTTTTGCCCAAATATTAAGATCTGCTGAATGGGCTTTCCGTTCTGTCCTACCATTGGAAGCTTTGTATTATGGAGAGATGCGAGAGAAGAGGGCCTTCTTGACTGGGTCACCCAGCTGTGGCGCACTCTCTGCTTGAGGCCTGGCTGGTGCTCATATTAGCCACATTTTGGCACCATGCTAAGACCTGGCTATTTACTCAGACTTTTGGCTGTTATTGACTGAAGTTTGTTTTTGCTTTGTTGCTTGGGTTTTAATGATTTTATACTGGATTTTGCATTTCACACTGTATTGTTTGTATGACTATATCCCATCCTAAGATCTATGTACTGATACAGAGTGGGTTAGAAATATTGTTATAATTGAATCTAACAAAACTTGCCAAATTTCCCCAAACATCAGGCTATTCTTGAAATACTAATCAAGAACAACTCTTGATGCAATGCTGTACATTCCCTTGGATAGGCAAAGGGTAGTGTCAGCAGTTATAGCAACCCAACTATTTAAATACTCAAACTGATATTTACTGAAACAACTACTATTAAAACAGATCTCAGAAGACTTAGGTGAAAGGAGAAACATGTAGAGACCTGACTTTTATAAAAGCCAGGATAACAGAGTAGGACTCAAAGTAATGTGAGATATTCTATCATGAATTTTAATTCTACAATTAAATGTTTTCTAAATGGAAGAAACATATCTTGCCATCTTTCCTAATCATAAAAGAATACTATCATTTTTTAATTTAGGCTCTGGGAAAGATGTCCAATCTTAAATTATTTTATTAACTAACTTAATCATAGTATCCAATGCACATCAATGCAAATCAATAACGAAAAAGAGAGAGCGAGGGAGAGAACTTGCAATACAAATACATTGAATCATATAAATCAAACAATCCAATCTAAAAATACTGAGACTGCCTTAGTAAAGAAAAATCCTCCCAAGCTAGTGATGGAGATCTGCATGTAGAAACAGACTTGTACATCTCAGCTGAATTCCGTATTTGCAATTCTGTGTTACACAAGGTAAAAGCCTTCATATCTTGTGGTTAGTTACATGGTGGTTAGTTACAAACACATGGTGAGTTTTTAATCCTCCTATTTTGGCAAATGGTGCACTAGACCAAATGATCTGTAACAGTTTTGTGGTTGTGAGCTGCCCAGAGGAGCTGTGGCAGCATACAAATGTTTCTAAATAAATAATTTTCAAGTCTGTGGGTAAATGGATTTTCTTTAAAGTGCCATGGGTGTAAGCAGTCATGGATGCCAGGAGCTCCACCCCTTCCACACACACACAGAGTAAACCCTCCAGTGCAAACAACTGAGACAGTTTCTTCATGGTTATGCAGCACAGCAGAGGCCGTAGGGTCAAAAACAACTGGGGATTGGAGAGAAATCCATTTCTTGCTGAGGACCCTGTTACCCCAGGGGTTTTCAGTGAAAAGTGGGCTTTGGAAGGCAGCTAGCCCCTTAAAAATAAACGGAAAAATGGGATGGAGAAAATCAGCAGGAGAAACTTAGTGCATGACAGACACTTCAGCATAGCCTCATAGGTGCAGTGATACCTGCTGGTGCTCCACCAGTGATACCAGCTCCAGAAATGGATTCTGCATTCCCAACAAGTGACTGACATTGTCAAAGCATACCATCAGTTTGGTAGACGTACATGCTTTCACAGCCCCATTTGCAGCAGTATTCATATAGGCTGATGCGATACATAAAGATCTTTAGATAGGGACTTTACAACATTTCTGCTATGCTAAGTATTCTATGAGTAATTTAATGTCCATAATTTCCAATTTCCTAAAAACAGTGAACACAAAACCTCAGTATTTAACTCATTACGTTTTACAATGCAGCACAACTGGTAAAGCAATGATCAAGTCGCTACTCACCATTTTGCATAACATCAATAATCTGTTTACATGAAAGATCGTTATAAGGCTTGACAGTATATCCCAAGGTCCTGAAAGTGTCTATGATGCGTGCAGCATCTGCATCTGTGCCAGATCGATGTGCCATCCCTTTGGATTTAAAAAGAAAAAGTCTGTCTTGACTACATTTTGAAAACTATGTCACAAGGAAATTTTGCTCAGAGTTATGCTAATACAGAAATGTTAGTTGTACAGTTGATGTAATACACAGTTGATGCCAGTCTTTGTTCTCATATATATAAGATACAGGAACATATATCTAATATATGTGAGAACATCTTTATGATACAGGAATGCATATCTTGGAAAAACATAGCAAGAACTGAAGGACTGGATGCCTTATAGTATACCTTACACCTTTAAAGAGAATGCATGATTATATTGCAGCCAATTCAAAGAAATTATTTTGTAAATTTTGAATGCAAAAAAGCATGATAACTATAGCCTGTCTAGAAAAGGATAACTGAAAAAGCTTACAAAAGAGGAAAGTAATCAGTATTGTGGAATTTTAAGTACCATATAATGCATATGCTAATTTGATAATATTGAAGTGAAAAGTGTTGTTTTCCTGACTGCAAATCTGAAGCCATCCTTTTCTCATGCCTTTTTTTAAACAACTAAAAATGCTTATGAAAATATTTTCCTTTACACCAAGGGTAATGATCAGAATAATTCCTGTCCTGGGGCTGAATAAGCATGGCCAGAAATTATACCATTCATTAAAGTCTGCCATAGCGTCAACTCCACAAATTAGAGCAGCAAAATAAGTTACACTGCTAACATACAATGTAATTGCTGGTGATAGTGTTCTAACTCCTGTCTTTGACTATACCAGGGTGAATAAGTAGTATTAAATGATTCATCTTTATGGTACTTATAACGATCAGTCAAAGAACAATTACAGCTCCCTTTGAATGATCTGAATGACTCATTACCTTTAATGCTGCTGCAGACATAACTGTTTCCTGAGGCTAAACCGGGATGTTGAAATCCTGTCGCAAGCCATTCCCATACTTCTGGCCATGCTTACTATGGTATGGAGCTGCCAGCAGAGACCAACTGCATGTGTACCTTTTACTCACCGTCAATATGCATGGAACCAGAAGGAACCATCATAGTAAGAAACCAATGTTGCATTCGCTGTTTGGCAGACAGAAGTATTCATGAATGGATTGTAGAAAATGCATATACAATGTACTACATTGAAAGGATAGGTTAGTGGCTGAGGTTACAAAGGAAACAGAGCTGGAAATGAGGCTGCAGAGGAAGCAGTCTCAGGCAGAGTTCTGTGTTGGCAATGGAAGTTAAGCCATTCATGGATGCCTTTTCTCACCAAACTGACAGCACATGCTTCTTTAAACAAGGCAAGATACAACTTTATAAGTCAACAGCAGTTAACTGGATGCTTCAGGCATAACATGTTTATTAAGAATATCATCAAAGCTATGCAGATTTAGGTATGAACAAACCTACTGATCTAAGTGAACTTAGGCCATCTAACTTTGCAAAGGTCTAAGCTGTAAATATACATCACTTTCCCAGAACTCTGTTCAAAACTTCCGCAACTGACAGTTTGATGTTCTTATGTTATAAATTTTTATGTTTTAAACTTAATGAAGGGAAGCTTTAACAAAAAGAATAAAGCACAAGAGAAAGATTATCTTTACCAGTAGCTGGATGGAAGTTTTTATTGTTCACCAAAACACAAACCCCCCTTTCTGGAAAGTCCATTCTGTAACTCTCATCTGCCTGTATCACAGAATCCACAGATTTGCTAACAGGTATGTTCTTCCTGTAAAGAACCGGGCAATGTAAAGATTAAACAAGATGTTCAACTTGAAAGAGAAAACTATATTTTCTTACTTTATATTTATGAGGCTTAATACAAGTTCTTTTTAATGTTAACATCAAATGAGAAATAGCTAGCAAAAAAACTGATTAAGCAGCTCCTTCAATGCACAGTATCTTCTGCTAAATGCATCAAATTTTAGTAACTGTCTCATATTTATATTATTTTCAAGGGCAGGTGTGAGGACATGATAGATCTGATGAAAAAATAACCACTAATCTCATTGAGTACCTGAAAAAATAACAAATTCACATGATGTAATTTCCCCATAGTCCCCTATACAACAGAATAGTATTCAAGATGCTTTGTAAAAAGTAAATATGATAGACCCATATGAAAATGAATAATCATGGATAACATTAAAAGGCTTTTTTCAAACAAGAAATGTAACTGGTATAAGGAATGCAAAACCTACATCGACTAGAACATACAACCAACAACCACCTTTTATGTAGCCCTAACATAAGAAGAGCCATGTTGGATCTTTGGAAAACCCCCTAGTTGGACATGAGTGTCACAGCATCCTTCCAGTCACGCTCCCCAGCAACTCATTCACCTAGGCATACTGCGGACATAGATATGTGGAACATATCAAACCTGAGGAGCTCTGTTATTTGTAATCTCATTTGTAAATTGCCAAAGGACCTTGAAAAGTACCCAATAAGCATTTTTCAAGTGCTTTATAAAGGAGGAACTAATATCCATTAAATTGGGATTCTACAGCAAAATTAGAAATGTTTTAACTTGAGTCATTCACCTCTTACCTCTACAGAACTATGAGGAAATCTGAACCAAGTGGTCTACAACAGGCAGGTGACATCTCTCAAAACAAATGCCTTATAAGAGGACTAGGAGGGTACATCCTCAGTTGATAAGGTGACATCTGTGCACTCTCACTGGAGCAAAATTGTTTATCTTCAGAAAAGTTAGGACCGCTTGTGGTCCTAACACCACAACATGCTGAAGTTAGCTATGGAATATTTGTGAGTACTCTAATGGCTTTACTGCATTTTATCAAATTATTCTAACAAATCTACCACCATGTGCAGGGAGACAGAATATAGCTTTAACAAATAAATAAAAATATATATGAAGATTAACTACCTTTCATATTTATTTACATGATTATAAATTAGTAGTCTCCACATTTTCTCCACCTTAATTTTTGCATTAAATGAAATGTACTCCTCATCACAGTTTGCTTGTCTATTTCACTGTAGGATAATGAAGATTCTACAGTGTACCAAGGAGAAGTGGCCACCCCTGCTACATGCTTGCTCAGCCACCCTTATTTTATACCAGGCCCATGGGAGGGAGTGAGGGTATTGTGAAGTGGACACTCCCCATATGTTCAGGAGGCTCACTGAGGGCTCTGTGACTCCTATACTGGCTAGAGAAATACAAACAAAAATAACAAGTCATTAACTATAAAAAGCATCACTTACCCTTCAGAAGTAGACAGGGTTTTTGCATCAGGCACAGTTTGTGGCGATTTCGGAATATGCTTTGTATCTGCCATAGTTATTTCTTTTGGTAAAGAAAATTGAAGGTGTTGTTTCTGAGAGTGCTTTCTGCAAAGTTGAACTGCATGGACAAAACATTTTTGATTGATAAGCAATGTCAGGATCTTTGTCAGAGGCTGACTAAGATAACTGACTATGGGTTACAAAAGCAACAAACAAACAAACACTTTTAAATTATTTTGCAGACATAGTCTTCCAAGTATCAAATGAATGGTTTAAAATAGGCACTGACCCCAGTCCGCTCAGACAAGAGAGTATCTTCCTATCATGCATCATCTTAATCTTTATTAGAGACTGCCTTGAAAAACTGACCAAAAAGTGATATAAAAAACTTTTATTTAGCAACTAAATAGATATTCTAAAGGAGTATAACTTTATGCTTCAATTGAAATATCGAAGGCAAGAATATTTTGTAAACCCCAGAAGAAAACATACAAAGATAGCTTGTATATAGCCTTATTAGATTTCACCATTTTAGTGACTCATTTCAAGACACTCCTAAGAAAATAAAATTCCAAGAATTCTCTATCTTCAGAACACTAGCTGCTTGGACAGTTTTAAAATGAAATATAGAAAAAACAACCTTGCTTTAAAATAACTATACTTCAAAGTTGGCCACATGTGTTTCAAGAACAAAGGCACATGAAAAGATCTATACATAAGCAGACATCCATATGTGCAGTCAGACACATGCTCTGTCAACAATTATTTAATTCTGTTCCACAGCACTGATGCTAACATAGAGAAGCATCAAAGCTCTGGGGAGGACAATGCTGTTACCAGCCAACTTTACTCAAGTATTAAAGCATTACTTCATCTTGGTTAGCTAATGCACTGATGTCATATTCTGTCAAGCAGAATATACATTTCCCCAGGGAGGATGATCTCATTCTATGAAGGATGAAAAAAAAGCTTTCTAGGAACAGACATAAATATTGCTAGAGGGGATTTGCAGGGGATGCTCACTTTGAAAGATTCTCAATGTCACAGAAAGTTAGGAGGCTTCACCAAAAAGTTAACACCAAGACAGTTGATATGACTCATAGGAAGGTGCAGGCCTTTTTATCACCTAGGGCAATATACTGGGCTGACTATGGATTCTTTTCCATGGAATGAGCCATGGCATGTCCTGGGTGACATTTTGAACATGCAACCCCTGACTGGGATGATACTGTTTTATGAGAACCCAGCCACTGTGGATTCTCTGCAGGTTAAACCTTGCATAACCTGTGATGTTGATTTTCTAGAAAAGGTAGAAATTGATTTTTTTCTGGTTATTTGACTCTTTTTTTTACTTCCCAACATACCTTCTCACTCAACAAACACATATAATATCTCTTATTAAGAAATAGAACTAAAAATGTAATCAATGTCAATTCTGTATGCAGTATATAAAATATAACAAGTTTTCCTAATAATCTCAACTGAAATATTTGCTTAGAGGGAATCTAAATTAACCATGCAATATAGCTTAAATAATAAAATCAAACACTTTCAAAGCTTTATGAAGAAATGATTTTATTGGAATATTTGTAAAAATGTAAAGACAATAGCATATATTTCCTTATGTTCTTTGTTTATATTTAACAAAACATGACTGCACCTGAAAGAACACAGCAAAACTTAGTATCTTTTGTGTTTTTTAAAATGGTCAATATCTAATTCTAAGTGTCAACTAGATGAAATGTGCAAGATGTACTACGGGAGATTGCAGCTGAACTCTAACCCCAGATCATACTGCTCCCCAGGAGAAAAGCAACTAGGAAGAGCAATTATGAGAAAGGGGTTAGGCATCCCTTTGCCTATATTGGCTGACATTTGTGCTGCCAAGTTTAATTCAGTCTTTAAAAGCATGGAGACTACATAGGCTTTCTCCAGTTTGAATGCAAGATCTACCATTGGTAGCAAGGGCTGTAGCTCAATGATAGAGCATTTGCTTTCTTTGCATAAGGTCTCAGGATGAATCCCTGGCACCTCCAGGGAAAGCTAGGAGAGGTTCTTGCCTAAAAATTCCCGGAGTGCCACTGCCAATCTATAATACTGAACTAGTGGGCCCGATGATTTGACTCAATAGAAGATAACTAATGAATGAGAACTGTTGAATTCTGTTATAACAGAAGGATTAAAGAAAACTTCACAGGCTAGTATAGAAACACAGATAATTGAAATAAGAAGCAAAAATGTCTACCCTATTGTTTTGCATATCAAGACACTTTCTCTTTGCTATACAAGGGCAAACCACATACTTTTATTTTCACTTTGGACATGTATAAAGCATTAATGACACAAGGGTGCAAGCACTCAGGTGTCTATTAACTATGACAAAGCAGGCCTGGAAACAGGCACAGATTGCTTTTGAGGTTAGAAAGTAAACCTCTTCTGAACTCTACCCAGCTCATACATTTTGCAAACATATACTTGCATTGTTGTACCCAATGTCTTTTTTCAGTTCCACCACTCTGTATCAGCAATATTAAAAGTAGTTAGATATCATGTTTCCTTTGATAATGGACAAATTCATTCTCAAAGTCTTCAGTTTTTCAGCAGAGCACTGTAAATGTGAGAATGATACAGAGCTGAAACCAATGTCTTGTCCCACCAGCAGAAGGGAACAGCTGACAGAACAAATCCCGCTCACTGCAGCCCCTGGAACATTGGGAGGCCAGAAGTGTTTCTGTGAAACCAGCAAAATGTCTTTCGTCTCAGGATGTAGCTTCATCTATTAAGATGGCAATCCTAAGCAAGTTTAGACAGAAAAAAAAGTACCTAACATGCCCAAGCCAGGAGTGCATCCTTAGCCGCCTTTACATGTTTTGGTAGACACAAAGACAACTAGATTCTGTCACTCTTGCAAAATGCTACTAAGTGTTATTTCCTCCAGAAGCTTGCACAGTAATGGGTATCTAATGGGTATCTGCAATGTATGTTTTTTAAACCACTACCTCACCAATAACTTCCTGTATCCAGTTACAGCAAGATCTTGAATGTTTTGTTAAGCAGAAAGACAGTACAGGATAACAGTTAAGAGTGCAACCAGGCGATCTTGTTCTAGTCCCCGCTCAGCCATGGAGCCAACTGGCTGACATTGGGCCAGTCACAGACTTTCAGCCCAACCTACCTTACAGGATTGTTGTAGAGGGAATAAGACTGAGCAGAAAGAGAATTGTGTAAGCTGCTTTGAGTTCCTTAAAAAAGAAAAAAAAAGTTGGGATATAGATCTAATAAATAAAATAAGCAGAAAAGAAAACTAAGCAATAGACAAAGTGAAAGGAAAACCTGCTCACGCCACCACCAACTCACTTTCTTTTTGACAAAGGGAGCTCGCTCTGTGATGCTGAATGTAGCTAGTACATTTGTTCCTCACCGGGAAAAGAGTAATTTGTTCCTAACTAAGGCTCACTTTTTTTTTTGTTAACAGCCCAGGTACTGCTGTACAGCCGCCAGGAAGTCTTTTTTCCTCTCGCCTTCCCCTTCCCGAGCTCGACTGGGGCGTGTGGTTGTCAGATGCGCCCAAGCAGAATTACTTCAGAACAATAACAACTATGGCGCCCAGCGACAGCCGGGGGGCAGCGGAGCGAGAGAAAGCGAGCGGGGACAGGGGCCATCCAGGAGCGCCTCCCGCACCCCCGCGCCGCCGTCCAAGCCTGCGCTGGCGACACGCGCGGTGCTCGGAGGAACCTGTTGCCGCCAGCGCGGCTGCTCCCGCACGGCTCTTTCGAAGCGGGGCGCCACGCGGCGCTGGGAAGGAGGGCGACTGCTGCAGACTTGCCCCGCGCAGACACACCCAAAATGGAAGGAGCGCCCAGCATCCGCCCGGTGGGAAACTCCGGGCGCTGCTCAGGCGGGCAAGCCCCCGCCTCCGGAGACTCACTGACCTCTCGCGTCTTGCTCCGCGGCTGCCGTCGGAAGCGTCCCTCACCCTCGACCCGGCCGCGCACGGGGGCTCGCTCCTTCCTCCCTTCCACACGCCTTTCCTCTGTTCCGTCTCCGTTTCGGCTCCGCCCCCGGGAGGGGAAGGGAGCAAAGGCTGCCGCTGCTGTGGCAACGGCGACGGCCCCAGCAACAAGACGGGCGCTTCCTCCAATGAGATGCGCGGGAAAGCGCGGGCCGTGCGCCTTCTCCCCGCTTTCTTCCTGCTGAGAAGGGTTGCTACGGTGGGACCGCCGTTCGCACGCTTAGTCTTCAGAGGTACGTGGCTGTCCACTGCTGGGTTGCAGTTGCTAGCCTGTCCTTAACATTACATCCCTCCTGGACCGTCCTGAGACTTTTGATAATGAGGACGGTATGGAAAAGCTTTAGATAAACAAATATATACATAACTATTATATTAAGCGTGCCTGTGCGGATGCTTTAAGGCCAGGCTTCTTTGTTTTCAGATTGGAACGGTATTTGGGGATGCCATGCTGCAGAGAAAACGTTCTATTTTGAAGTAACTTTTTAAAAGTGTTTTCCAGTTTCTAAAATGACAAGATACTGTCATTGTAATGCAAATACCTTACAACTTTTAAACTGGACTGATATAAACAGATAAAAAATCCGCTTAGACAGTCCTTGGACTAATTTAATGTAGAATATAAATTGAATCAATGAATGTGTAAATAAATAGACAAAGATTTCAGAGAAAGGTTTAAAGTTAAGGTTGTGAGGTGGGTATGATGGCCATTAGATCCCACTTTCACTCAAAAGGGCTCCTATATTTGCTCAGTAATTCTGACAAACGTTGGAGGATGTGAGTAGGAATCCAAGGGCTAAATAAATACTTGAGATTCTAAGAAGGAAGGCAAGTTTACCAACTGCTTAACTCAGGATTCAATTTAGCCTTCCCCTACCTGGTGGCTTTTAAATGTTGGGCTATAACTGCCAGCATTCCTCAACGTTGTCCATGCTAACTGGGACTGATAAGGGCTCATCCCAGAAATCCCAGGGGCATTAGGCTGGGGTTGCAGCCCCGCAGGAGTTGATATAACACACCTTTCCCTTCTCTTCCATGTACCACCTGTTGGTACTTCTCCCACTCTTAGTGGTGCACTTGTGCAATATGGAGGAAGCTGGTAAAGTGCACATCTTTAGTCATATAGAATATCCAAAACTTGCTGTGTTAACATTAACTACACAGTCTGCCATGTTGTTTGTGTGCAAGCACAGTCCAAAAGCAACAGTTCAATCTTATGCTTGCTTACTAGGACCTACTCCTAGATAAGTGCATAGGATTGCAGAGTTAAGCATGTGAACCCATCTTTCCTGTATAAGTTATATAGACATGGATTCAGCAATAATTTTAAGAGCCAATTGCTTTTTCTGACATTAGTGTATATTTATGAATAAGTGTGATAAGCACTTCCTGGTGCATTCCAACAAGGCTTTAGCAGCATCCAATATTTATTTCATCCTTCTTCACTATACATCTTTTAGAATTCTGTAACATGTGCTGCATTCATTTGAATGTAAGTTGGTATGTTGTTATTTCTACTTTGTTAAAGAACATCATTGATGAATATCCTTGATGAATTGATTTTTAAGAAAGATCTTGGACTGCGCAGAAATGGATAGATTGACTTTATCATTGAAGGAGAAAGAAGACACTGACTTGTATCAAACTTGGGATTTTTTTTATAATTGGCTGGAGAAACGGGACTTGGCGTAAATTTAGAGATGTTTTCAAGTTATTATAACTCACTTAAATATGACTATGGAGTGTTAAAAAGTATGTAGTAGGGGGTTGACCCAGTAAATCCGATGTATGTAATGATTAATGTTTTTAGTATTAGTTTAAAAAATGTAAAAAAAAAAATAGAATTCTGTAACATGTGCTGCATTCATTTGAATATAAGTTGGTATGCTGTTATTTCTACTTTGTTAAAGAACATCATTGATGAATATCCTTGATACTGTGTTTGAAGAAAAGGCAATTTTAATATTTCCTCATTTATTCATGTGACATATGAGAACAACAGATCGTCCATCTGTATCTCATTTCTGTTTTTATGGTCTTAGTCATGATGCACTATTATTAATTTGAAAAAAGTACAGTCTGTGCAGGGAATTTTTATTGATAACAATGAAACAGATTGTTTCTAGCTGTGCCATATTAATACAGCTGTTTATATTTTTTACAGATATTTTCCTCTTTGTAGAAATCTAAAAATTAAACAATAGTGATTACATCTCTGAGAGAAAGCTACCATGAGCACCAGTAAGTCCCTTATTCCAAGTCCTAAAAATGTTTACAATAAACGTGTTGATGCCACACATGGTAAATTACTGTAAATCAAATAATCCTTTTGCAGTTCACATAACTGGTTGGATCCAGGGTTCTATCAACAGAGTTCTGCTCACAGAATGGGGCATTCTTGGGTTTCTGCTCCCCTTCCCCTGTGGCCCTTATAATTCTCTTCCAGGTTGGAGGACTTTCTGGCACAGCATGTGAGGTGGCATGGGACATTGGGTTTATCAAAGAAAGTAAGCATTGTCTCCATGGTCATGTTTACAGGCGCTTTGCATTCTCAGATACCGGAGAAATATGTAGATTGAGAACCAATGTACTGACCAGTGGAATATAAATGCTTGCAATGATATACTTGCAACTACATCATTATGATGGCCAAAGCTGCATTTAGTGCTTCAAACTTTAGAACTGATTTGCTGTTCTCTGAAGGGTTAACAGCTTGATATTTCAGCGAATATCAATATTTCACCAAATGGTGTTAAGAGTGATACACCAAATACAGCACAATCATTTACTGTTCGTACATATGAACAGCAGCAAGGAAAGTTTTGAATCTCTGTTAATGTGTGGTTTAAAGTGGAGAAACTGATTTATATACATGTTCCATTCAGAAGGTGGTTGATTTTTGTAATCTTAATCAGTAGTCAAGCATAAAATGTATTGTAGGATGTGACCATAAAGTGTATGTTGTCTGTTAAATGTACTGCTCAGGCTAGACATATCCGATGCATGTTCAGCAATCTGGTTAGTTTGTGAAATACCTATCTGCATGCATCTTAACTGTCTGCTGTGATACTGGCTAAGTGTCAGCATCTAAATAAACAATATCCTGCCTGATTGTTGGTGCCAGCTGATCTTGGAAGTCTTTGGGTTTGTATTTCTATGTCCCATGCATCTGTTTTTAAGAGTTGGACCACCCAATAAGCTAATGTCTTAACTCCCATCTAGCAGTCAAGAAGACAACTCCTCCCACAAGTCCTGGGCTACATTGGGTAATATATTACTGTACGTTAACATGAACTTCCCTTCATGTTAAGGTTTAAGTTTCATTTTGATTACTTTAGAACAAAGAAAAAGAACATGGGAAGAAAAAATGAAAGATGTCAAAGAACTAGCATCTAGTTATAAAAGAAGACCTCTTTGTCCACATTACAGACCACAGCTGTCCAAACCATGGCAGCCATCTTCAGTTTGGAAGCTATTTCCTCGGCTAACTCAAGCAATTCACTTTGCCAAGACTTGTAAAGAGGTATGATAGTAAATTATTAGGAATATTTCTTTGCCAATAAGATCCCTTTCTAATTTATATGTTGTTGTGTTTTGATTATTTTCATATTTATTACTATTTTATTAATATCTGTGAGATGCTTTACTATTAAAAATAACCAAAGCATTGTTCAATTAAGATAAACAATAGAAACAGTTTATCAGGAAAGCCAGTTACCAACCTCAGAAAGTTTTCTGAATTGCCCACATCTTAACAATATGGAGAATTGATAAAGATATAATAGTGTTAAAACCCACCCAGGGCAAGAAATTTGAGAAGGCAGTGTAACTATTGAGAAGGTCTGATTCCAAGTTCCTATCAGTCTCACCATGTGCAGTGGGTAAAACACCCTTGCCTATCCAAGCTTCTCATCAGATGTTGCTTGCGACCATGCCACCTTTGGTAAAAGGTAGAATGTAGCCAACAAGGCTATTCGGAAGCCATCCAAATTAGTGGCCATGACCACTTCTCACGGCAGAAAATTTCATAATATAACTATGCATTGTGTGAAGAAATACTTTTATCTTTCCTAAATCTCCTACCAATCAGTTCACGGGATGATCCTGGGTTCTAGAATTATGGGAAAGTGAGGAAATTATTTCTTCTCTCTTTCAATAATGAAAGGAGGAAAACAGGAGTAAAAGTGAGCAAAAGAGGGACTATTAACACTTAGTAAATCAATATTCTTAAGGATATTGCATTTGAGCAGAAATTGTAAAAAAATGCTGCTTTTGATTTTACAATCCAAGGAAGGCGATATGTGGCACGATTTAAGTTCCAGTTACAGAAAATGCTTCCCCAAGGAACTGTGCTCTTTCTGTGTACTTCTGTTATATTATGAACAAACCAAAGAAGTACCAAGGGACTAACCTCGATCTTGCTTTAAATACTTGCACTGAATATCCATTAGTTGGAGTCGCATTAGAATTCTGTCTACCCTTTCTTGTACAGCCCTCTTTTCTGTGATAAAGCAAAGAAAAAGTTATAAAATGAACCAGTTTTCTTAGAAGGCATAATGTTGTGGAACTTAATATTGTTAAGAAATTTCTATATTGACTGCACCTTGTTTATTTAAAACTTTTGTCTGCCGTCCCCCATCTAAGGCATCTTGGGATGGCTCACAATCAATACATTAAAACAATCAATAAAATCACATACATAAACCAGATAGCACTTGGTCTGCCAGAATGTTTCCCAAATCAGTTGCAGAATCCATAACATCAGTTTTATCAGCAAAGCCATCTGAAACAGGTGACATGTTATTGTCAAGTTCATACAGATGCATCTCTTCCATGTTCAGCCAGTTAAATCTGTTTGACATTGGTATTGCAAACTCACTGAAGCTTGAACAGTTGGAGGAAAAAAATCATTAATTTTAAGTAGCTTGGAACCAGGAGGCTGAAACAAAGTTGAGGGGCTTCTGGTTTGCTTTCTGATACCCATTATATGACATTGTAGGCTCCTAAGTTCCTGACACCTCTGTGCATTACGATTGCATGCCTTCCCATCAATCACTTCCCTTCTTTCTTCATGCTGCCCCAGAATACTGCCAATATCCTTCTTACTACACTCAATCTTCTTGTCACACTCCCTTTTTAAATATTTTGTTTGAAAATTTATCTTTTTAGTCCCATCTTTATCTTCCTTTCAGAATGATTACAGCAACTGTGCTTATGTGCTGAGAAATCAAACAGATCACACTGAATTCAAGCAGATAACTCACTGAAACCTACTCTTCAAGTTTTAAAAAAGACCACATTTAAGGCCTTTTACTGCTGTAATTATGCTTGTCTCATTTAAAAAAAAATCTCAGTGAATGAAATTTCACTCTTCCAAAAAAAAAAATGACTTCCAGAAGCAAGCAAAGCAGGGCAGAAAACTTTAACAATTTAAAACAGATTAAAACAATGTTGTTTATTGTTGATACCAAAATGGTGTGAACATTGTTAGTAACTGTCTTCCTGATAATATTCTTATTATTTTAACTAAATTTTAAAACGAAAACTAAACCTTCTCCCTCAAATTGCCCTAGTCAAAAGTGCAATAGGCAGATTAGTAAAGTAAAGGTAAAGGTTTCCCCTTGACTCTAGGGGGCGGTGCTCATCTCCATTTCCTAGCTGAGAGAGCCAGCATTTGTCCACAAACAGTCTTGTGGTCATGTGGCCGGCATGACTAAACACTGAAGTGCATGGAACACTGTTACCTGCCCACCGAAGTGGTACCTTTTTATCTACTTGCATTTGCATGCTTTCGAACTGCAAGGTTGGCAGGAGCTGGGATGGAGCAATGGGAACTCATCCCATTGTGCAGATTCGAACCTGCGACCTTTTGATCAACCAGCCCAGCAACACAGCAGATTAAACCACTGGCAGATTAGAAATTGTTAAATACTTTGATAAAATGCCAAAACAAATATTAATATGAAGCTTCTTGGTGTCTTCCTTTCACTCTCAGCTTCCAGTCTCATTTAATAAGAATAAATGAGACCATCACATCATTTAGGTGTATTCACATTTGGTTTAATACACATATTACTTTTGTTTCACATTGTATTTTTATTAAACATATAGGTAGTAATTAATGCAACTTGCATTTATAATACAGTATACTTACACAATTATTATTTTTGCTTTTCCCCTTTCACCTTATTTATTTGTTTACAAAGCTTGTGTTCTTGCTTCTTTTTGTTTAAAAAGTAACATCAAACCACAGAGTGCTTCTTTGTTTGTGTGACATTTCAGCACTCTAAATTATCTTTCCTGCCTGACCTACATCCATATATTATAATAATGGTGAGGTACCTTTCACTGATTTTCTGTGAAAATATCTGACGGATTCTGAATAATTTGACAGGCTTTATTCTGAATTCATGTTGCTTTGCAAAACAACTGTCATCTGTTTGCCTTTGTAAATAGAGGAATAAATTGCTAAAATAGATCACATGTAGTTTCTTTAGTATGCCTTGGATGAAATGGAGTGGAAGATCCTTGCAGTGGCAGGTCATCATTCTGCGACAAATGCCTGACCTAACTCCTTGCTTTTTACACAGACAGTCATTATTGGCGCTATCCCTTCGCCACACTTGGTATTCTTGTGTATGCTACCATTAGAGTGCAGGAGGAACACATTAGAAGTCAGTTGTACAATTGACAAGCTTTGGGCTCACCGGTTTGTTGAATGGGAGAAGTTGAACTAATGCTTAAAATTCTTACTGTTTTAAAAGGAAGTTCATGTATTTGCTCTGGAAAAGCATCCTGAAAAGAAACAAAGGATTTATCTTGTGACAACATATATAGAGCTTTGGTTTTATTACAGGTAAGTATCTGAAAGGCACAAGAGTATACACATAATGATGGATATTCGTATATAGATACAGCTATACATTCGTATATAGATCTGTAAGCTACATGCTTACTTAAAATCAAGTCCCATTGTTTTCTGTGTGATTTAACCTTAAGTAAGTGTGGGTAGAATTGTAACCTTTATGATTTACATGTTTTTTGGTTTTTCTCCAGTGCAATGAATCATTATCACTTTCATAATTCAACTTTTTATTAGACTCAGATTCATTCTAGCTGCTAGAACGGGTATGCACAAACTCTGATCTTCTGAACTGTGAGGAAAAGGCCACTCTTAGGCTGGAATGCTGAATGCAGTTCAGATCATGGCAGTGAGAGGAAGCCAGGGTTGCTGCTTTACTGGCACTGATGCTGGGTCACCAGGGGAATTGAAGAAGCATTTACTGCTTCCCTCACTGACGCTAAAGTAGCTTATGTGTCTGTGTGTTTACAGCCTTTGGCCTCTCTAGTCAATTCTGTGTGCAGCTTTTGAGCATGAAAAGGTTGTGGACTCCCAGTGTTGGAGCACCACCTTTTTGTGAATGCTGCAGTGATGCTCCCTGTGTGTGGCATTCAGTGCAGAAGCTGGTACTTTGGAAAGTCTCTGCTTTGTCTTGACTTCCCCAAATATTTTTGTTTGCTTGTTTTAAGAAGAAGCTCATGTAGCAAATTGTTAGTGTTTTAATCTATCAATCAATGTAATTATTATGCTTGAAATTCAAACACTAGAATGACAAATTTATCACAATTATATAGATTCAGGGATTCAACAGATAAATATTTATTTATTTATTTAGAACTTTTATATGCCATCACCACATGCCTCAGCATCTCAAGACAGCTTACAAATGTAGAATTAAAAATAATAAAACAATAACAAATTCAATAAGAGTATATAAAAACAAAAAAGTGACTGTAAACGATAAAATTATTTTTTAAAATAGCCTTTAAATAAAAAGGTTTTAACCCGGCGCCGAAAAGAATATAGACTCAGCGCCAGGCGCACCTGTCCAGGGAGCACATTCCATAATCTGGGCATCACCACAGAGAAGGCCCTGTTCCCAGTAGTTGTTCCTTTTATCTCCTTTAAAGAGGGCTCCCAGAGCAAAGCCTCTCCTGCAGATCATAAGGGGTGTGAGGGCATGTAAGGGAAGAGGCACTCCTTCAGGTATCCTGGTCCCAAGCTGTTCAGGGCTTTATAGGTTAAAACCAGCACCTTGAATTGGGCCCGGACTTCAACTGGGAAGCAGTGGAGCTGATAGAGGACTGGTGTTATGTGAGAGTAACTCATTATTGAATTGAGCATTTTACCCAAATAGTTTATATCTCTGTATAGCAGTGTTGATTTCTCAGGATTAAAATTGAACTGGAAAATTTTCTGGAATGCACATGAAATGTGTCAGTTTGCATTGGAAAGTAGTCAGATCCCTTAGGGTTGCCTTTCCCAAACTGGTGTCCTTGAGTTGTTTTTGACTATATTTGTCAGAATTCTTGACTGTTGGCCATGCTAGCTAAGGCTGGTCAAGAGTTCATATCGAAAACATCTGGACAGCAGTGGGATGGGGTTGAATGTCCCAGAGAGTGATGCAATTGATCATGTTTATTTTACTTTTATTTAAGTAAATAACGAAGCTCACAAAAATTCTGTGGTATTTTCTCGTCCCCATACATGAGTATTTGAATTGAATTGCTCGAGGGGGAAAATAGAATCATGCTTAGTGTGATTTATTTGCAGTATTGGCAAAAGTTTAAAGGCAATAACATGTAGTTCCTAGGCAGTGTGATCCAGTATGGTTGCCTATAAACCTCTGAATTTGGAGGGTTATGGGCGTTTCAGTAGAGAGTGGAAGGCACATGGAGATTACCTCTGCTTTTCTGCTGCCCTGCAAAGAACTTAGACAGCTAATTTTGGCTGCCTAAGTTCTTTGTCTTAGCCCACAAAAAGGAGAAGCTGAGAATCTAGATATGCAGAATTATGGTAGAGCCTCATTCTTCCCCTTCTCCCCATCCTGTTATTCACAGACTTCTAGCTCTGAGGTTAGGCTTGTGACCTCAGTGGTACAGGTTCTTTCTGCGTTGGCTGTTGGGGCACTCCAAGGCCAGAGAGTGCTTCTTAGGTCAGAGCTAGGTTTCTGATTTCTCCTATGACTGGCTAGATTCTGTCATTGCTCTAATTTAGGGGAGGGGGGAAATCAAAGGTATTAAAAATGGTTGACACACCGTAACTGTTAGCAATCCAAAGAATGGAACATGATATACTGGCAATTACTCTTGTTTTAAGAGTTGGACTCTTACTGAGTTTGTTGGGCCACTTTCACTGTTAGCACTTAAAAGTTTCATTCCACACTGAGGAATATTTCATTAACAATATGTCTCTCTTATACTAGCTAAGGATAATCACATTAAAATCTTAATTGAACTTTGAAATGTTCAAGTTTGCCTAATATACATATTTTCAGTTGGCTTCCACTCATTTTTACTAATAAACTTATGGAATAGAAAATCATATCACACTGTCTGTCCTGTGTGGAAAATAGTTCAGCAATGTTAGTAAAATCAAACTCATTTTCAGGCATTTTTTCAGAAGAATCCATAACCAAATAAACTTAATGCTTGGGGATTTATCAGGGTGATAACTTGGCAGTGATCAGGTAGGTTTGAGCACTTGCAGTTTCTGTGTTTCTTTCTGAGAAGTGCATCCATGAAACCAAAACTCTATTTTAAAGCAGCACTTTTGGAACCTGACACAGAAGTTTTTCATGAAGGAAGTGCACCCTGCGTTCTTTAAACAGTCTATAGACAAATATCAAAACATCTTCTTGAACTAGGATGATTTAAAGATGGTGATTTAAAGATCACCATCAAGATTTTATTGTGGCACGGCATTCTGAAAAGGAAACCAAGAAAAAAATGTGAGTGCATGTCATGATATTCTGGTATATGCACTGGTACTGTATTAGTGAAGTTTTTAATGCAAGTTTGCTAAGCAAAAGTAGGAATATTTATTTTAATTGAGGAATTATAATTTCAATAATTGCTATGATATTTTTCTTCATCTAGCAAACATTATAAAACAAGTCTGATGCATTGCTACGAAGTTATTCCAGAAACAGCTGTTTGCAAACTCTATTTTGATTTGGAATTCTACATTCCAACAAATCCAGAAGCAGATGGGAAGCAGATGGTGACAGACTTAATAGAGGTAATGAAAAACAACAGCAACAGGAAAGTAGATTTAGGTTTAACATTAAGGAGAATGTCCTAACTTTAATAGCAATTAAGCAATGCATTCTGTTTCCAAGAAAGTCTGTAGAATCTCTTTCTTGGGAGTTTTTTTAAAAAAAGCTACACAAGGAATCTACTATTTTAAGTCTAGGGCCCTAAGTTTGCAGGGTATTGAGCAAGATCTCCTTTTGCCTTTTCAGTTTATTCAACTGGGATGCAGTATTGTGTGGAGGATATATAATTCAAGCAGTGTTTTGACTTTGTATTAGATACTTGAAATATTCAAGTACCAAATTCTAGTGTTGCATGTGGTGGGTTATTTTGTTTTTAAACAAAAGTGGTGGTCTATTGTGTATTACCAGGACTTTTTAACTTCCCCATCTTCATTTCCTATATCCTTTTGTACCCTGTGCAAACCTACTCTCAAAGCTGAGGCTCAAAAGCAGGATTCCTTGAATCCCAAGGTGCTGTTGCATGAAGGCTATACTGGTGGTATCTCCTTTGCCTTATGCATGTGTCAATAATATGTCAGACACCATTGAAATGCTGGGTGGAGCCTATACTGTGTTACTTGTCTGGCTTTTCAGCCTTTCTTAGCTTTATACACTTAAACATTATAATTAATGAATACGTTAAATGTACTAATATGTAACTATGTATCAACTGTGAAAGTAATGTCATTGTGCCTTTCTCAGTTTGTTTGTAAGAAGTTAGATGAATACTATGAAGTAAAATGTTCAGCTGAAGATATTTTGAATTTGGACTCCAGCACTGAAGAAAAATTTAGCTCCCACTTAATATTTCAGCTCCACAATGCTGCATTTAAGAATAATATTGAATTAGGTAAGCAAAATATATTGCAAATGTATACAGAAATGTAATTTTACTCTTTAAGATCATGACTAGTATATTTATTTGTAATCATTCTATGTTCTGATACTTTTTATCACTCATAGCAGATTGAAGACATTGAAAGATAGCAGAGAAAGGGACATAGGCTAGCAAGAGTAAAAAGAGGAGGTCTGCAGTGGTGCTCTGGTTCTCTTGGCTGGCAGGTTCTGTGTTAAGATGTCTTTGAACCCTTTATGTTTGATACTGTGCTGTACTACTGCCTTGGGAGTATGAAAAGGTGCCACCTGGATGTTCCTAGTAGAATGAGTTTTATGAAGGAATTTGTACTGTGCATATTTTCAGTTTTGTTCACTTTTCTAGAGTCAATATTTCTCATTGTGTAGGGAATGCCTTCCTATTTCTTAGATTTGAAACATTCTGTAGCAGAATCACCAGAAGTTCTTTTTAAAATGTTCCTAATTTTCAGACTGTGAATCTATTTTTCCTTTCTTGTTTCTTTAAGGTAACTTTTTAAAAATCATTTTCCAACCTGCTATTCTTTTAACTAAGAATGAAGATGTGGTGGTTCAAGAAAAACAGGTGGCATCTGTTTCTCAATGTTACAGAGCTACCACAGATGATGGAAATCAGATGATGGCAAAAGATGAATCTCAAAGCTGGCAAGTGAATGCACACAAAGAAGTGGGAAAGGAGACCTCACATTCCAAGAAAAATTCTGATATTTCATTTTTAATAGTAAATGGGAAACAGAGAGGAAAGCAACTGTTTGTGGATCTTGGTAAATATAGATGCATTTCATGCACAACTTTGTTCATACTGTTCTCAAATATGTGTAGAAGTTTAATTCCAATTTTTCATCTAGTTTTTTCACTTTATTATATGAAATTGCCCTGTGTGGAACCAGTAAATCATTTGCTAGGTACTGTCTGACTGCCAGTAGCATGAGGAAGCCTGTAGCAGTCCAAAGTCTCTTGCAGAGGTCCAAGGTTTCATGAGGAAGCCTGTGGTGCTTACTAGCATTTTTGTTCCAAACTCTATGTGCACCTCCATGTACAGAAATGTTATGGATAACTATGTTTATATTGTAAGTTTATTTTGTGCATGTTTGTTGCAAATTGGTATGGAGATGAAGGCTCATTCCCTGTGAATTTATTTACTGTTACAACACATTTTTTTTTAAAAAACTGCGCTTCTTGCAGCTCTTAGCCTCTTGCTCCTAGAAGTTCTCTCCAGGCTTCTCTCAGCCACTTTTGAGACTTTTAAAAGTTCCTCACTCTTTTTCTTCAGTCCATCTAGGACTCTCTGACTGATCTTTTAACCAGTGCTGAACCTGTCCCTTCCCTCTAGCTAGAACCTGCAGGCAATCAACTGAATTTTACTGGAATTGCTGCACCTTTATTGTTTTCAAACAATTAATATAAATAAAATGGCTACAAACTGACTGATTGTAACCTGATCAGTAGTATGCCGCTGTTGTTCCATGTTGTCATATTATCTCATTCTGACTTATAGTAATCCTATGGATGAAAGCCCTCCAAAATATTCTGTCTGTACCAACCCTACTCAGCTCTTATAAACTTAAGGCAGGGACTTCCTTTATGGAATTGAGCCCCCTCATATTTACTTTTGCCCTTCTCCTAGCACAGGCCACATCTTGCCTGATGAAACTAATGAGTTCAGCAACAGTTTGTGGAATGCCATGTGCAACACTTTATGGAATGACTTGCAGAACAGATTATGAAACACTGCAGTGCTTTGTGAAACTTGTTCAAGGACTAAAACAAGGTTTCTGCAAGATTGGTACTTGTGAAATAACTCAGACTAAAATTTGAATTCTGAAATTTTGCTGAATTGATGTTTCTGTCAGACGGGTTACATTCTTCTCAGTCAAGGCCTACTCGCTTCTTTTATAAATACACAAGGGAAAAAAAATCCCTCTTCCATGAGCACCCAATATGCAGCTTTGTCATATGAGCATGGATCTTTAGGTCCTGTGGATAGGATGTTAAAACAAAATGAAGCAATACTGCTTCACTATTTGATATATTGAATATGTGTGCTTATTCTGGTTTACATCTATTTTTATAGAATTATTTATAGAGAGCTATAAATCAGGACAGTTTAAGCCTGCTTTGGCAGACTGAGACCAGTGGCCTTTAAACACACTTAATTGTTGATGTATAGCCCTCGGTTCCAAAATCCATAGACAATTGTAAATATAGCCAATACCTCTTTCTTACTGTAGGAGTTTATTCAAAGAACAGAAACTTCCGGTTATACAAGTCATCCAAAGCCGGAAACTGTGTCATTTTAGATATTGCTGAAGATAACAAGTTTGTTCCTAAACCTGCAAAGAATTCTTGCATAGAAGAACAGTATTTTTTTTCCTCTTTGATCTGTAATGTAAGGTAACTAAGTTACACTTCATTGGAATTCAGAATTATTTTCCTAATTCTTCTTAATGTTACTGAATTGTGTTCATTGTTCAACCTGCAACAGCAGTGAATGATACATGCTTGGCTATCACCTTGTCACTGTTTGGAATCCTGGGAGATTTAAGGGAAATTTGCCCAGTAAAGTGTTAAATTGCTAAAAGTGTGCATTTCTGGTAGCTTGCCAGACCTCCCTTTATCTGCCACCACTGGTGCACTGTTGAGAGTTTTCCCTCTTAGCAAGGGAATCCCTTATCAGGGATTCCTGAGATAAAGAAGGCTTCTCCTCACTGGTGCTCAGAAGAGGATCCTCAGACTTGTAGATTTTGCGCATGTGCAGCCCCCTAGTACTGCTTGATGTGGCTCTCAGCCAGAAACTGTGGTCATTCCCCTTGGTTGTCCTTACCTAAGGAATGGGTTATTTCCAGATCTCTCTCTGAAGCTAGAAAGATGGCTGGGTGGCAAGACAATGATTTCTCCTTGCTCTGCCTCTTCTCTTGCAATCTTTTGCTTTGAATACACACATGAATAAACGTGTGTTTATTGTATCAGTGATTTATGCATTTGCTTCTCAAATCACTTAGGGGAAACTATGCAAGTTGAATTAATAGATTATTTTAATGTATGTCTGTACTGCATGACCACAGAATACAAAAGGGAACAGAGGCAAAATATGTTTGTGGCTTGTTAGTTTGAGATTTTGTTCTTCAATCCTTTGTTTCTTCTGTTTTTCATCAGATTTTCAGACGGTTTCAAAATTTTGACTTGTGAGAACCCAAAAGAGGAAAGAGAAAAATCTAGGCATGTCGATGGCAACATTTTAAATTGCTATTTAGGTAATTCTGTTAAATCTTATTTAAATTTCATTGATTTAAATCAATAGAAATTGATATAAATAATGCTATGGCAAAATTCAAAATACCCCAGTTGACTGTGAATCTTACCACATCCAAATATTTCTGTGAAAATTCTATCTCTTAAATACAAACTTGAAAAAATACATATTCAAGAAACTTTATTAGTGTGCTGTAACTTATCTGTCAATTTAACATTTTGGAAGCTTGTGATAATTAACCATGATGCACATAAGAGGAATTTATTAATTTGAGTAAGTTTAATGTTTATTAATTTGAACGAGAGATATGATAAGCTAGTTAGATTTGACTTTTTCCTGTGCAGACTTAAGAAGGCCCAGAAGTCAGTTTTCTTTGAAGAATGCATATAACTACTTATGGTGTGATGTGCCTGGAACCTGTTCACAATAGGATAAACTCAGACAAGCTAGAACGATTTTGGTAGAATAAAAAGACTCTTCTTGTATCAATACAATGAGGCCCTAGCTAGATTTTTGAAAGTATTCATGTCCTTTCTGATTGTGTAGATGCTATAGAAGAATAAGTTCAAAATCTTTTGTACCTTTTATAGACCCCATAGGAGGATATGAATGGTCACCTTATCCAGAAATTGATAACTTCGTTCTCTCTTTAGTTAATAAAGATAACATCTGTGGAGGTAAGGACTTTTTTTGGTATCCAGCAGAAACAGGTGATTTTTCAAAGTATTGAAGTCATTTTGAAAACTCTTATTTTGCAGGGATAAGACGATGGAATTACTTTTCTCTTGAACAGCTTCTTGTATATGATATCTCCAACTATCGCTGGTGTGAAAATATTGGCAGAGCTCACAAAAGTAACAATATATTGTATGTAAACTTTCATGTCACTCTTAAAATAGTTTGAGGGGTTTGTAAATTTTAATTGAGTATTTTTTTGGATTCAAGTCATTACAATATATTATAACGTATTATAATGTAATGCAAGAATTTCACAAAAATGACAAGGTGAGAATTTATGTAACATTAAGAATTTTCCTTTGCAATGAATCCAAGCAAGATATACCAGCATCTAGTGAATGAGAACATTCTAACTGAGAGCAGTCCTTTCTATTTTTATATACAGATTTCCAAGTGTGACAGTAAATTGTATATGTGCTTTGTGCATTTTTCAAATTCTAAAGAGCCATGTACACATTAAAATTTTGTGCTGTCCTGTGCTGTGCACTAGTGAACTGCAGTGTGCTGCACCTGTCTACTCAACATAAACTAGACTGAGTTCAATTAATTGTACTCCTAGTTAAGAGTGTATAGGGGTATAAGCAGAATTAATCCCCCGTTCCTAGTGAAATCTGGATTCTTGATTTAAAATAACTGAATTATCTAATTATTCATGCATGCCAGTCAATAAATTATTGGAACTTTGGGCAGTATCCAGAATGGTACTTATGCCTTTGCCAATATCATGTTGATTCTTTTATGAAAATGGTGCCCACTGTTTGCAGGATGGAGATCTAATGCTTCTGCAGGCAACCAGAAATGAAGAGAAACTCCTTTCTGGAACGGGGCAAGTCAGTGGAGCTCACATAATGGTTCTCTGCTGACTTTCTGATCTAGAAATGAATGCTTCTCTAGGAACCATTACATTGCCATTGCACAAGCAAAGCATCCCGCTTGAGCAGAGGTATCAGCAGGACTACTGTATGCACAATAGCATAAGCATCATATTAAATATTGCCCTTTAAGCATGCCTAACTTGGTGCAGTACTTCAGTCATGTGTAATCATGACTGAAGACTTTTTTATTGACTGCTTTTCATTTTCAATTTTTAAAAACATTTCCTGTTGAATTTAACCAGTTCTTATAAGGTATTTGTAAGGTACTTCCACCTTGGAATCAAAGGAATTTGCCCACAGTAGGAAACTCTGCACTCTGATATGTTCACTGAGAGAGCTGATCAGCTGATCATTTGAACTAATAGTACAGATCATGATCTGCTTACATATTACATGGACTTTCTGCCTACCTTGTAACACTGTATTTCATGTGTAGTCAGGAAGTCTGTATGTAACTCTCTTGACAGAGTAGGCTAAAGATCATTGGACTTTCATTTTACACATATGGATAGTTCAAGTCAGTGTATTATACAATTGGTAACAAACTAGAAATGTTTAGCATTAATAATTTGGAGTAGAGCTAGAAACCATAGCAGTTAAGAGTGTTTCCACTGAGTGCCAAACTGAATCTAACATCTCTCTATTTGAAGGATTGTAGTAGATTTGAAAAATGAGCATTGGTATCAAAAATGCCATGACCCTATTTGCAGAGCAGAAAACTTCAAGTCAGAATGTAAGTACTTGTGTATAACCTAAAATATTAGTTACAGATTTTAAATATTATAACTAACATACTGACTTGTATATGTGATATAGGTTATCCGTTACCAGCTGAAGTATGCCTCCCATTCCTTTTTGAAGAGGTATGTTTTTCTCACTAAATAAGAAAGTTAGAAAATGATGAAAAGTGAGGAAGCTTAAGATAAAATTGTGACTGTATTTCTAAGCCTACTTTAAATATAACTAAGATTTCCTAGGCCTTTAATATTGCACTAGACTTTGCACCAACTCACACTTTTGTATTTTGCATGAATATGCATAAAACTGAAAATGGAGACACAGTCAAAGGGGAGTTCATGCAACATGACAACCCACCCTGGGAATAAATGATGCAGTGTGGGTTGTTTACCCTGTTTGTGCTCCCCCACATTCCTCAGTCCTTCAGCCACTCTCTTACTGTTCCTACTGACACAACCATCTTGTATATCCTGTCCCCACTTTACTCCCAAGACCATCCAAAATGAGTGGGCTGTAGATATTTCCCTTGGTAATCCTTTGGCTTTAATGTGTCAAACTGGCATTTCTCAGTGTCTTTCACCTTTGGAAAATTTCTTGTTTTTCCAACTAGATGGAGACATTCAAGGGTTTTATAGGTCTCCTTCTCTGGACAGTTAGTGTGTTTCCTGTATGACTGTCAAAAGCATGTCAAGGTGGCAGGGTGGGATGCAGTGAATGGTGCTGCGTTTGAGGAAAGCCCCCCTCCCCCCGCAATTCCATCTTCTCAAGCTTAATTCAATGTCTGGGCAATTTGGACATCCTGACTTAAAGGTTCATTTTGCAGTGCTGAGGATACCACATCTGAATCACTTTTCCTATCTCTGCAACCCACTTAAGCAACTTGCATATGGTTCGTCTGCTTTTAACACCAACATTGGCAGCTGCTCTGTGTATAACAATACTCTTGCAGTTTATGTATTGAATTTACATCAAAAGTGGTGCTCAAGATGTGTTACAGAGAAGCAGCAACCACCTCTCAGTCATGAGAGTGCAAAATTCCAAGTTAAAGAACATGCCACTGTCGCAGCAGATGAAGCAAGCCCATAGGAGCTGGTGTATGTGTGTGAGTACAGTCACTTGATCTGATCTGTGTCAACTAAAAAGTATTCTGTTACAGAAATTATTGGATAATGTTCAAATTTCACCTGCAGATATCTGTGACAGCTCATTCACCCATACACATAATATAACCAGTGAATGATGGACATGCATATGTGAGCTACTTTTGTACTTTTAGTTTACTGAAAGACCCTAACTGATTAGAAAGTGTCCTCTTGAGACTTCGTGACCTGCTGAAACATTCAGTAGCCATTGCATATTCTTTATTTGATAGGTTGCAGAGGGATTATAGCTTTCATGCATGTCATCAAGCCCCAACGCAATAGGGCTTTTCCTAACTACTACATATGAATGACCTATGGGGTATAAGCTTATTTATAATACAAGGTTATTTAACATTCAGACGCTTCTGAAATTCAAATTGTAACAGGATAGGACAAAGAGTGGCTTATGTTATTAACTAGGAAATCCCAGCATGATCTCTCCAAACGTGTTAATGTTTGCTTTAAAGGATGAAGAATGTGTCTATATAATGGATGACAATGGGAACATTGAAGAAAAATCAGCAACCCATTCTGATCATACAAGCTTCTCAACTGTCACATATTTAACTCCAGTACAAGAAAGCAGAGAGACAAATGCTGAGAAAACTTTGAGCATCAAATGGGAGGAAGAGGAGGCTGGCATTTATTTTTTCAAAACTTCTGAAGATGTAGAACTAGCTGAAGCTGTTGATACTTTCCAGCTGCAGAAGAACTGGATTGATGAAATACCTGATGAGATCTTAGTAGATGCTTTAATAAAACATGAAATTAAAGAAATCAAAGAGTAACTATATGCAGTAAATTAGACTTAGCTGAATTAAACCAAATTAGTCATGGATCCTGTTGGTGGTAGTTAGATAAGCTAGTCCAACAGTATTTTCTTGAGAGCTCCCTGTAATATTAGTTATTCACTACAAGCAACCAACCTCTTACTATGGTGGATAAAGATTGATGAGACAGCTTGTAGAAGTATTCACAGATTGCAGCAGTGATTTCTATGCCCAAAAGTACGGGTTTCATTAAATATCAAGATACCCATTATGGAAACGGGATTGTTTTTAATTTGGAAGAAGCTTAGCACAATGAGGGATTCAAATGAATAAATTACCACAGTGTAGAAGACATACTTAATGAATTCTGTTCAGAGAACTACATGTATTTTTAAAATGGAAGAAATAGTTCCAATACTGCAGTAATCCAGTAGTATTTATAGCCATGGTTCAAGTCTTATTCAAAAAACCTATGTTTACTGTTTTGCATAAAATGTAGGATTGCAGAATTAAGCAGTGTCTTCATTTTAGCTTTTTTAAAAACTTTGTCATAATTAGCATCAGAATTAAAACATAATTGATGTAGATCCAGTTTGCACAATTGTAGAGTAACTAATTAGCCATTGTGGCTTGTTAGACACTCTGACCATTCCAGGAGTATTAGCATAATTACTTGTAGCAGCGCTGCTTGCAATTCTGTTACTGTTTATTATTATTACTGTTACTCTACTTGGCATATGCTTGGGGGGCAATAGCTATTACGGTTCATTTTGCCTGCAGTGAGTGCTCAAACGGAACCCTAATCCTAATATAGCAAATAAATTACTACTACTATAATGTTCAGAGGCTATTTCTTTCTTTTGCATCCATTTCATAACAAGGAAGAGACTAGAAAGTCAGTATTGTGGGAAAGCCATAAATGCCACTTTTTCCTGTGCACCAAAGTAAAGTAACTGAGCAAATGCATTCTGAGATTCCGTGACTTACTATTCCTTTGCCTCAAACCTTGTGCTATTTGACAAAGCAGTCATTGGTCTTTATGCCAGTTTAGTAGAGCAAGACTAAAATCAACAAAGTTATGCTACAGTATCGTAACAGAGGCAAATCTCAATGAAAACCACTTAATACTTGGGTTTCCTGCTTCAATTATTACTATATGTCAATACATTTAAAGGGTGGCAGTGTAAAACATGTTTATTTTATATTACTAGCTTTTCTTCTGCAGATCCAAAGACTGTTGTATTTTTGCACTGATATTTCTGAAGTGACCTTCTGCTCCTAAAATTCTTCGTGATTCCACCAGAAGAGCAGGAAGGCTGGAAACACCATACTGCATAAAAGAAGACAACAAGGGCAATTTTACTGTGAAAAGTCATTGATGTTATCCCTAGTTTTCTCACCAGGTCTGTCCCTTTCTATTATCATTTCAAACATCATTGTTACTTAAAGAAATGTTGCACAAATGAGATGAAATGGCAGAAGAATTTTTTAAATGGCCCACAATATGTATCATCATTAGTGTGCATAGGTTCATATGGCATGACAACTCATGTTGGTTTGTGTTGTCTGTAGCTGGTGCTCTGTGTGTGTGTGTGTGTGAAGGAGGGAGGGAACAAGCCATGCCAAGAGTCCATGGCTTGTGTGTGTCCACACTGTACTGTCATGTCATCTGAACACAGGAGACTGATTTTATTGTGGATTGTTTCAATTGGCTACAGATCCATTGGCAAGAGTGGCAAAGAGCCACAGTTGCTGAAGTGACACTTATGCATAACCCCAGGCTGGCATATATGCCATGGCCTTTTCCTCCTTCCTTCCAGCTCTATATCCCAGAGGACGCTGCAGCAAAATCTACCTTGTTTCTTCCTCCCCAGTCCATAATCCTTTCTATTCCCCAACTTTTAATTTTTTGGTACCTCAAAAATGAGCAGTTAGGGTCAAAAAGTTTTTGGATTTGTCTTTTGCCAGGTACATATTTATGGCTGGATGGTCATGTTGTATGCCAAAGGGGAGTAAGATAGTGCAGGAAGTAACATACAGGGGAAATGATGAGGCAGAGTTGCCTATAGGTTAATTTGTCCCCTGGGACTGGGGGAGAAAAACCGTTTAAGATAGGAGGGACCAGGTTGAACAATTCAGAAGCATCAAAATGGCAGGGAGGGGCCAGGCAAAGTGAATGGAGGCAAAATTGGAGCAGATTTCAGGACAGGAAAGTAAAAGGAAGTGACATTTGCAGACCTGCAGTAACATTCCATTTACTTTTTAGCCATTATATCTGCATAATTTTCCTTTCCATTTAGTTACTGGTCCAAAAATTGCACAAATATTGACTAGTTTTTTTTTAACTTAATGTTGGACCCAATTCCAGCAGTAATTAGCCTTTGCTCACAGGAACCCTTTCACTCTGTTACATGCAGACAATCTTAAGGATTAAAAACAACCAAAACTGCCAGGGAGCTCCGATAGCCAAAGCAGCAAGTGTTCCATTCAATAAGCTGGGCAGCAACACTTGCATATTTGAGGCAGCAAAATATTTTTAATAAAATTTGGAGAATAAAAAGGGATAGTCGTGGCAGCAGTGAGAGTAAGACAAGTTAGATTTTGCTGCAGAATCCCTTGGGATATGTGCCAGAGCCAGATGGCAGAAGAAAAAGGAAGAATAAGCCATGGCAAGGCTTATTGTTTGTTGGGAATACTATGAATTGTTCCACAAACGACCCATCATGACTTAGTTGCAAGGTGTTGGAGTGTAATCTGCCCAGTCTCTGTCCCCATTAAAGGTTTTCACAAGTGCACAATATACAGGGTCTCCCACAAAAATTGACATCATTTCGTAGTCTAATAACATAGCCAATTCTCGCTCAAATGATCTCAAATTTTAACAAAATGGGTAAAAACTAATGTTAGTTATGCAATGTTATGCAATACATGCTACAGCATGTTCGGCAGGAGGTGGACTACCAACTTGACATGTGTTGTGTCACAGGTGGTGCGCATATTGAACATTTGTGAAACTTTGTGAAATTGGTTATAAAATCTACATCCCTTTGAATTTCTTGTTGGAATTTTGATAAATAAATCTGTTATTGTTCAAATGAAGCTTATTTAATTTTGTTTGCCTAGGAAATGGAGTTACTCAGATATTCATATTTCAAATAATGTCAATTTTTTTGGGACACCTTGTATAACCACACCCACTCCAAATGGGCAGTTGTATGATAAGGCCATACCATAGATGGTCCCTTTGACGGCCCTTTTAGGTGGAAAAGCAGAACATACATTTTGGTTGAAATGTATAAAATATTGTCTCAGAGGTGGTCTCCTGTAATATTCATGATATCTATTGCAGATAGTCAGCATGACAGCTATTTTTAGGGGTGTAAAGGTCTTAAGCCTCGCATACATAGTGTAGCAGAACCACCCTGCTCTGGAGGCAGTACATACAAGACACCTATTGCTTGTGCTGCGGATAAGGCTAGGTTAGGGCTCCCCATGTTAATTTTCCCAGGGACTACTGAAGGAAAATTTTAGCTGAGTTTGAATGTTAACATTGTTTCAACTCTAAAAATAAATGTAAAATAAAGTGTATTGAAACATTAAAATGTACATACTTCTATTTTTTGTGATTTTTCCTTTCTGTCACTACCATATTTTTGTTGAAGTTCTTTTAAATCGGTGACTAATTGAACTGCATTCTCAAGAGCAGATATTTTTCCTTTTAGTTCTTCATATTCTTTCTCCAGTTTCTTCAGCTGTGGTTCAGTTCTACAAAACAAGAGGGTTACCATTATGTTTTGATAAAGGTTTTTTTTTGTGGGGTGGGGGAGTCACAAGTGCTGTGTAGTGGTTCTATAGAAGATTGCTTAAAGCTGTGTTCTAGTTTGCATAATCACATGATAGTTAATAAACCACCATGCTTAGTTTATGTGATTTGAATTTTTGTTCATCATCCAGACAGCTTTAGCTACTGGACATTACAGGGGTGTAAAAAATAATGATCAAACTATGCAAAGCACTAGAGGAAAGGCAGGAAACGTTTTTATTTATTCCCCCTGTACAGACAGCTGAAAAAATGTTTGGATTAGACATTTTAAACTCCTTCAGCTAGACACTATGTGCCCTTAAGTTGCTTATGAGGTTCCCTGAATCCCGCTTCACTGCCAGGGGAACTTTTCCTCAAACTCTAGAAACAGCTGCCATAGGATCTATGAGTATAAGAAAGTAAGTCTGGAGTCTGAGAAGAAACACATTTATGTGGGAATGAAGTTTCTCATGACAGCATGAGCAGTGAGGGAATGTATGGGCCTCAGCAAGCTGGTGGTAGCCTTATCTAGCTCACAAAAGGAGGGTTAGATATTTTTGCCTACACAAAATTGGGGGTGGCCAATTATCTGAGCTCCTGTCAAGGTGAGTGGAGTGGAATTTGAAGAAATCTCTTGAAGTGAATGTCAGGATGCAATAAAATATATCGCAACTGATTATAATGATCCATAAAGATGAACATACCACATGGCATAAGAAGATACTTGAGTAATACAGGAAGTTTCCTCCAACTGAGATTTAATTAAACCTAAAACTTATTCCCAGGTTGTTTTATTTAGCATGTTACCAATTAAAGCTTACCTTATCAGTTCTTCCTTAACTTCTATTAAACGTTGCCTTTTCTTATTTGTTGCTCTGATCATCTGCAATGCCAGTAAAAGTGTAGTTTAAAACAAAAACAAAATCTCATTGTCTTACTAGTTGTACTCCTAAACCTGCTGCACTCTAAACAATAAAATGGACAGACTTAATATTACACTTTTTAATAGATTTTCCACTTCTATCAAAGCTTATAGTCATATGAGGAAGCAAGAAATATTTGGAACTCCAAAATTGTTAATGCTGTAGTCTGGGAAGACGCTCCATTGAATTCAGTGTGGCTTCCTTCTGAATTGACATGCACAGGATGGCACTTTAAAATAGTTTTCCTGCATCATATTCATGTTCAGCTGCAGGTAAACTTTTTTTTACTGTGGTTATCTTCTAGTTATCCTAACAAAGCTGGAATTTATCTGGGTAACAATATTTGGTACAATCCAATGTGGCTACTCATAACCTTGCAAACTAAGAAAAGGCAACCATTAGAGGGTGGGAGGAGGGTGGGGGCATGGGTTACTTCCTTACTTCTCGCACCCTGTAAAAAAACAAAGATGATTCTTGGCTATTTATGTCTTCTACCCCAGCTTGTGAGAAGGAGGGGCTGAGGCACTACCAGGATACATCATATCCTGGCAGAGGCTTATTCCTTCCCTCCCCTGGAACACCCCCTCCCAAGGCCAGATCTGAAGTCACACTTGTGATCTGCGGTCAAGACCAGCACAGAAAGAACCATGTTAGCTTTGTTGGCATGGGGAAGGGGCTTTGAGGGCAGGGAGAGGGGACTTCACAATCAGAATCCCAAGTCCAACCTTAAAATGCATTTCTAAGACCAGAACTGGGACTTTGATCTATCCCATGGCTGTCTAAATAGTGCATAGTAACTACAGCCATTATGCATTTATTTATATTTGTATCCCACCTTTACAAATAAACTAAAAGTAGACATAAAATATTAACTCTTCATTACTTTAAAAGTAATGAAGCTGCAAACTCAGAGCATAAATAAAACCCCAATATTCATTAAATATATTTTTTAAAAAAATCAAAATTCTTCCTAATAAGGCAAGGTCACACTTTGGCAGAAAACCATTAGGTAAGACCAGGTGGATCTTTTTGTGTAGGCAATTCTACAGTGTTTGGGTACAGACACCAAAAAAGTCCCTTCTCTCATCTCAGTGAACTATAATTTTAGGAAATGGAAGATGATCTCTGCTGATCTCTGTTGGATAGGTTCATTTTGGAAAAGGTAATCCTTCAATTACCAAGACTAAACTGTAAAAAGCAGTGGGCAACTTGTGGCTCCCCAGATTTGATCTATAATTCTCAACAACTCCAAAATGTTTACCTTTGTGTTCTTCAGTTTTGTCTTTTTTAATTCCTCAGCATTTGTAGCCTAATAATAATAATACACAAATTAGTCATATTGTAGAATCTCTTGATTTCATACAACAATTAAAAAAAGAATACAGTTTTTAAATGTCACTGTGAGGGCCAGCATTGACATAATTCACATTTTTATGGTTGTCAAGGTCCCAAGAAAAGGCTAGTCAACTATAGTTAAGCTTACACTTCTTTTAAAGTTATTTTTTCCAGGTGAATGGCTTCCCCTTTCTAGGCGTTTCTTTCACAACTGTGGGATCAATTTCACTAAGTGGAATACTGGAGATAGCTGCCTGTAATGAGCAGGAGAGGCAGCCCATAATAAGCTGCCCACCCATAATAAAGACATCCGATACTACAATACTGCAACTCTTTCCTTGACTCACAACCCAGCATCTCCTCCTACTGGGACCTTTCCAAGGTTGCAGCTGCACTAACTGGCACCTGGCCAAGTAGAATGCAGCCCTGGTGAGTCTATATACAGGTGTGTAGCCTTGGAGTCTCAAGCTGAGATCTCAAATGCTTACACACTATCTAGACTCCTCAGTCCATCACTGAGATTCAAATAGGTAAGTAGGGTGGTGAATCAGCATACATTTACATAATTTGTGGAAAGTTACTCAGTTTTTATCATTCTCTCCCTATTTCAGGGAAGGAATAAATCTTAAAATGTAGTATTTATTTCCTGTCAAGAATCTAAAAGTATCAATGCTCATGAAATCCTCAGGAAATAGGATTCAGTTTCATTTACTGAAAAGCTTCATATAGCATCTTTCAGCAATGCTCCCAGAGCAGTTTTTCATTAACTTGTCAACTGAGGATAAACAAGTGTCCTCACAAAACGTTCAATCGTTACACAGATGTATCTTTCATGTATAACTATTATTTTAATTTTGTAGTAACCAATCTAAAGTTTTCTGTAAACCTCAGGACTTCCCAAGTCTGCCAAGGCCTGCATCTTGTGTGTGGATAGGGACTGGCATTCAGAGAACAGAGAGTGCAATTAGTATATACTTGTACTTAACAGTATTGGTGAGTTGATTTCTGAACCCAGTATAAAAGCTATCAATAGCTTTCCTACAGATCTTTGGTTGTACTCCATGTCTGAAAAAAGGAAGAATATATACACATTGAACAAATCTCTCTGCTTAAACAAGTGTGATTTTCATTAGAAGATAAAAATTCTAGGTACTAGAATTCTAAATCCTTTGGATGGACAAAAATACCAGATAGTGTTTCCAACAATTTAAATTTCTTCTGAAAAAATATATCAATAGTTGTAACTTCTAATGGTGAAAAGTAGTGTCATTCAACTATCATTTAAAGCATGTATTATTGCTGTTAATCAGCTGAATTCCTACTATAAGCCTATTATCACACAGCTGTTTGAAATGGTAATTTACTTAGTTCTGTTCTCATACCAAGTTAGATTTAAATGTAATGCCTTCCTTCAGCTTCGACTGATTAATCAGCTGCGCCCCTACCTGGAGTACGACTGCCTGGCGACGGTGACACACGCGCTGGTGACTTCCCGCCTAGACTTCTGTAACGCGCTTTACGTGGGGCTTCCCCTGAAGACAGTCCGAACACTTCAATTGGTGCAAAACAGAGCTGCCAGGTTGCTGACGGGGATGGGGCGTTATGCTCACATGACTCCAGTCCTCCGTCAGCTTCACTGGCTTCCCATTGAAGTCCGGGCCCAATTCAAGGTGTTGGTGATGACCTATAAAGCCCTAAACGGCTTGAGTCCTGGCTACCTGAACGAGCGCTTACATCCGTATATGCCTGACCGCCCTTTGAGATCTGCGGGAGAGTCCCTTCTCCGGGAACCCTCCATGAAAGAAATTAGGAGAGTAAGTACCCGGAGGAGGGCTTTCTCTGCGGTGGCGCCCAACCTATGGAATTCACTCCCCAGAGAGGTCCGCCTGGCACTGTCGTTGCTGGTTTTTCGGCGCCAGGTAAAGACCTTTTTATTTAAACATCATTTCAATTGTTAAAACATATGATCTGGCCAGGGCAACTTCTTCTTCCTTCTCTTTCTCCTCCTATATTTTTATTTTATACTGATAATTTTAATTTTATATTTGTAAATCAATGTATTTTTTGTATTTTTGTATTTAATGGTAATTTATTATGTACTATTGTATTTCAATGTATTTTATCATGTTGTAAGCCGCCCCGAGGTTTCGGCAAGGGGCGGCATAGAAATGTAATAATAATAATAATAATAATAATAATAATAATAATAATAATAATAATAAATGTGGGGTTTAGGAGATAATTTTTAGCTAAACACTGTTGGTTATCTTTTCATATAATGTCTTCCTGCTGGCTTTAAATAACATACCAGATACCATGTAATAGTCTACAAAAGTTAGCTATTTGTAAACCTTTACAAACACTTTCTTGTGCTGATGTAGTAAAATATCTAAACACAGCTGCAATGAGAGATAAAAAGCAATAATAAATTACATCTTAGGTTGTCTATCACAACACAGTTTTCAGCTTACTTGTATTTTGCTGTTATTTTCTCAAACTCATCCAGAATAACATCCAGTTCTGTGACATGGCTGGCAACTTTTTTCCGCCCTTTAGGGTCCCAAACTTTTATCAAATTTGGATCATCATCTGAATCTAAATAAAATTGCAAATAGTGTTTGAAGCAGACTTTGGTATTACAGTTTCCATCCCTTCCACCTCCCAAGATGTCTAAAAATTATTCCCAGTTATAAACAAGGAGTTTTAAAAGATAAACGGCATATATTACAGCATATCATTTTTATGTGCTGTGAAGCTGAAAAAGTATCATCTGTCATCATATAGTGCTCACTCTTCTAGCTTTATCATCACAGAGATTAAGTGCTAAGAAAAGTTCAGCATCAACCTCAAAAGAAGTAATACATGGTCTTTTCCTTACCTAGGTAGTCTGTCTCCATCTCTGGTGAAGATCCCATCTGCTTCACAAAGGCTTTAGCTCTCTTTCTAGGCAACTGTTAGGATAGGAGGCAGACATATTTAAATATATGGAAATTGGAATTTTAATCACATTTGGCAGGAACTAATCTGCACCATTTAAAGCTGGCTCTCTAATAATATTGTTATTACACTATTTATTATTATTACACTGTACTTATTTGCCACATTCGTACAGGAAGTACCAAGAATACCATGTCAGAGGCACTATCTGCTTATTTGCAACAGCACCCCACAAACTTGAATGCATCTGTTCCACCAGTGAAAAGTACAATGAAAATAACTAAATTAGGGTTTGTTCTCTTTTCTTGACTCCACATGTCTGAGTAGTCTAATGAATAAAACAGACATTTTCCCCAAAACCAACCAACCAACCAACCAGGTAAGTGGCTGAGTCCTTCATTTGCAAAGTACATCTGGGGCATACTGATCATTTCTAACCTTATCAGTATGCAAATACTTCATAAGATCTATGACTCTATCCAATATAGTGCTTTCTAGAAAGTTTATCCTTTATGACAATGCAGATGATGGTTTACCACACTAGGTGTACATTCTGTTGATTTCTAAATGTTAATAATCAAGAGATTTTTCTTACATTAAAGAGAAAGGGAATGCAATGCAATCCCTTTATTTTACATGCATCCTTACATGCAAGTAGCACTGCATCCTTTCAGCAAGTACAAATAGGTAAACCACAAAATATAAGTATGTTATATGGACAATAAATACACTTGTACTACATAAATTCACATGATGAGCAGTCCTGTTACATTTCTGTACAATGTTACAGAAACCTCAAATTTATGGCCATTTATGTTTACAGTAACCACAATTGGACCTGTTCAAACTTCAACCCCTCTCCCCATAAAAAGGGGAAATATTCATAAAATAATAAGTACCATATTTTCTTTCACAGGTTCCTCTTCAGAATCTTCTAATTCCATTCTTGATTTCAAGGCAGGCTGATTTTTGCTAGGAAAATTCCAAATAATACAATGTATGTTGGAATGCAGTTTTCAACATTAAAATATAAATAACTCTTTACCTTTCCCAAGGCTCTATTTGCTAAGGAATTTCAATACTGTCACGAAAGAGTTGTGTGCCATTGCCAGGAAGGTGTTCAGACAAACAAGGAGTTGGCATTACAATACAGTAATGACCAACTGAACATATGAACCAAAGGGTGAGTGCACATGTACGGCAAAAAAGGAAAATGTGGATGAGAAATGCAAATGACTGCATGACTAAAGCTGCAATTTCATGCACACTTCAGTGAGACTTATTTCTGAGTTTATTGGCATAAGACTGCTCTGTAATGGTTAAAGGAACATACACTGCACGGATACAGTTTCCACTAATAGGCACTGAAGCTTGATTTAGTTGTACAGCTTACAAAAACTGAATAAATGCATCTCCTGGCAAAACTGGCCAAAACTACTGTGAGTATTGCAAGACCCAAACATTCACTCTTAATAACTCAGGGAAAGTACAAAAATCTAAACCAAAATTATTAAATATTTTAACCCTTTAGCTATATAAAGGTTTGGTTGCACTGAATTATCCTGTAATTTAAGAATATTCCTGCAGTCATTCTCTAAGATTGATTTTGCTATTCCTCAAGTAAGAGACATCTCAAAGAAATTATGTTGGATTGCAGAGATATGTGTAGAAAACAGAGGAGGATGGGCATCATTACTCACTTATCTGCATTCTTCGCTTGTGCTTTGGCAATAAATGTTTTCCAAATACTATTGTCAGAAAGTGACACTTATTTGCATAAAGGAGTACCAGAGTATTAAGATGTAGTTCTATACTGTCATTAAATGGATGACCTGGATTAGCATGGCTAGCATATTATATAACTAGCTAAAGTTGTGTGAGTGAATGCAGTGTTCATGAGTGAGTGGAGAATGATTACACAGAAAGTATTTGAAAGATAAATATGTCCTCAAATCTATTTCAGAGATACCTTTCCAGTGTATTTTTTTTTGCTGGCTCTGATTCACATGAATGACTGGTTGTCCCATCAGGCTCTGAACATGGATCTTTGTCCACTTCCTCTTCCTCATAAGAAGACACAGCAGTGCTATGTAAAGGATGATCTAAACAAAGCAGAAAAATCTAGTAACAATGACCAGTACTATTTTGTTTGCAATACTGCTGTTACTGCTTTCCCACAGCTAAGAGTAAAAAAAAAAAAAAAAAAAGTAACCACAGGAGAAGTCTGGATATTTCACCAGTACTGTTTCTTCCAAATAATCCTTTAATTTCCCTTTCTCACAAGTGCTTACGTCAAAAAAAAGGGTTCAGTTTTTAAAACCTATCCGCCAAATTTGAGCATTTTTGAGGGGGCAATGAAATACGCATGCATAAGCGCTCGTGAAAAGGGATGGAATGCAGTTTTCCCCTTTCTGGAGTACCTAGACGCTTGAGGAAAAGATGAAGGGCACCAAGAGCTGTGAGGGCAGTACTTAAGACTAGGGGATCACACTGTTAAGTGGGAGATGTACTCTCTATCCTCTCCCAGGTAAAAACCTGTTTAAAGTTTTACTATTCAATTGACAGCTGTCAAGGTTATGCTAATTAACCTATATGCAGCCTTGCTTTGTCAATATCCATGGATATTACCTATTGCATTTGAATTTCAGATGCTTGCCAGGACACTGGCCAAGCAAGATTCTAGATTTCAGGAAAATCTAAGCACACAACTGTGCAAGTCTGGATTTTTTTAAATTTTTTTAAAAATACTTCTATAGCTCCTATTGTGCACATTTCTGCTACCTAAATTGGTTTATTTCTTTTTAAAAGAGCAACCATCACTGCTGCTGGTACAGGGTTCCAGAAAAACAACAAACAGCAAATGAAAACAGGGTTAAGAGGAGAGCAGAGAGAAAATGAGCTAAAACGCTTAGTCACAATTCTAGGGACTAACACCCATTGACAACCCTAGTAAGCACTATATCCAATCAAATTCAAAGATGTGAGTGTCACCACTAACCAAACAAATCATCAGGCTCCTCTGATTGCCCAGTTTCAGGAATTTTCAAAATATAGGATACATCCGGCTCCTGCAAGAGAAGCAATTTAGCATGAAGGTGAAAGTCGACTTTGTTCTAAAGAGTGAGGGGAAGTAAAGTAAAATCCAATGGCAGAGATATATACCAGTATAAAATACAAAAAAACTGAAATACTGGTTTAGAATAAGGAAAATGCAGCAAAAACCCGTATGTGTGATGCACAGAGACAATGATGAAGGAATTACTTTAATAAAACACACCTCATAATTTAAAAATCTGCATGAGGCAAATAAAGGGAATATATAATTAAGAGTATGCATTCATGGGTGTACACATGTATGCAGGCAGGCTTACTCCACCATGGAAGGCTCTGGCTGCAAAAGGGGCACTATCTAGAAAATGATCTTTCTACATACAATATGCACAGTGGGAATTAATGTATCCATGTGATATGACATTTACAATTTAACTATAGAAGTCCTTAGCAACTGACTATAAACATGAAAAGAGGGCCCAAAGAACACAGTCCAAGAAGAAATAGGACAAAACATTACTAAGCAAGAATTGCATGAGATGGTGCTGAAATACTAAATATGACTGGAGTCTCTGAACATGCCAAACTGGAATTCATCTATTCTTCCTCTAAACTTAGTACATGGATTTGCTGAAATCACTACACTGAGAGTAAATAAACTGGGGTAGTCAACAGAGAAGTGAGCAGGCAAGAACAATCAAGCACAATTATAGCTCCAATACTGTTGATTTAAAAATTTTGAAAAATGTTTTAGTCCAATGACCCAGAATGATGCGCTTCTTTCATCATCAAAACCCTGCCCAAAACTGACCAGAAAAAATTTGGGATTCACTTCCACCAAAGACTGGCCATAGCCCTTTGCTCAAGTTCTCAAGTTCAAATCACCCACTATGATCTGTTGCAGATGGAGCCTTGTGGGAAATTGAGCGGTATTGCATGGCATCCTTTGGAAAAAAATTATTATAGTGTAGATTTATGTACCATTGCATTACACTTGTAACCAATAAAATTCGACCTATATTTTTTCTTTTTTTGTTCTTTGGATTTCTGCTCCCAAGTCCTTGATATGTTTAACACCAGAAAATCAATATACTTACCAGTGTTATTGCTTACATATTTGAATGTGCATGTGTGTGCTTACAAATATGTAATAGGCTTGAATCGCACGTGAACACAACTGCAAAGAAATAAAATTATCTGCACTGACAACCAATTCTTCCGGGGGGTGGGACGGGGGCCGGACACTTCTGGCTCTGTGCTAGGAGTGTGTCACCTAAATATCTGTGTCAGTGTCAATATAGGTGTCACTGTCACCTAACTCCCAGTGTCAACTCAGATATAGATTGGTTCAAGGCTCTGTATTACATATGACTGATAAATACCTCATTTGCTTCTTGAAAAAGAAAAGAAATGTGCCACTTACTCGAAGGTTCTTTCTGGAATCTCCTCTTGCTTTTCTCTTTGGCATCACCTTAACACTGAAATAGGTAAAAGTGGGACATTACCTGACAGTGATAACCCTTCTTTTTAGATTCATGTACCTTAGAGCAGGAACAGTAACAGATCTTTATTACAGTGGTACACCTTCATCTAAGGAACACTGTCTTATAAAGAGCAGCATACCAGAGGTCCTTAAAATTCCTAGGCATTTCATGCATTGAATGAACTGAACAATGTTTCTGCAAGCTTATGCCAGAATAAAATCTTCAAGGTAGAACAAAATTTGGGGGTTTTTTTGCTGCAACACGCTCACACAGCTACTTCTCTGTAAAACGTCCTAAACAGTCTTTCATTCAAGTACTTAGCAAGCAAAGTATATTGTGCTTTCAGAACATCCCTGGGGACATCAGTGGGTAAGTGCAAAACTGCTATTTCTAACTGCACAAACTGTTAAATAATATGCTTAGAGAGCTGTTTGGGCTAATGATGCAGAATATAAGTTTAATAATAAATACTAATAAAATCCCCATACTCACATACACAGGCCTTCATTGTGTTGGTGTTGTATAGAGATACATGAGTATCTTTTAGCTGTATACAATCTAGAGTGTGATTGTGTTGATATTTGAAATGTCATCATAGTAATATTTAGAAACTTACCTCTATTCTTTCCTAGGATTCTATGTCCCTCCTATCCTTTGATCTACATTCCATGTCATTAGAGAAGGAATGACACACATATAGTGGGCATAACCTGCATAGCAGTAATCATCCTGTCCCTTACATCCAGCTTGTCACAAGAAAAATACAGACAGCAATTATACCTGTGAGTCTAGCATACTACATGAAGCTGTAGACCAGCTATTTATCAATGACTTCAGAAAAAAAGAAGCCCAATGTTAGCAATAAACAACAAGTTATTAAATGTTCAGTTTTTAAACTAAGTGCCACAGTTCAAGTATATCCATGAATACTGGTCGAGAGCACATTTTCCTAATCTTAGATATATGGAAATCAAATACTAGTTTACGAAGGAATCAGCTGAGAGGCTACACACCAATAGCCTTACCTCCCCTCTTGAAACCCCTGCTGCTGACTTCTGCTGCTTCTGCTGTGGAAAATATCTTTAGCAACAGAGGAGCAGAAAAAGAAAAACCAAACTTTTCAGCAGCTTTTGATACCAACAACCACTGGGCAGAGTAATATTCCCTAACCATCACCCTCTGGAGCCTGAGCGGAACCACTGTTCCACTCAGCAGTACCCTTCATTTCCAACTCAGATGGTCACTCCAGAAGAATATCGTGCTTGATGGTACCCACTGAAGGACCATGTCATCTGACAAGGGACCTTGTCATCGTGACAAAGGGACCTTTTCAAAGCTCTCTACCTTCAGATCACTATCCTCATGCCCAGCTGAAAAACAAAAACAAATCTGGAGTGTGCACAGCTACATGTTATGGGCTGATAATATGTAGGGGTGGTCCCTTGATTACCATGGAGTCCATGAAATCCTGACCTGCCCCAGATAGGACATCCTCAGCATGCATGTTAACATCTCTCAGGATTAGCAGCCTTGGGGAATCTCAACATCACAGCTGAGACAAAAGGTAGGGAGACTGTTGAGCTGCAGAGTAGACAGTACACCAACAGAATCCCTTACTGGTTCACCTAGCTCAGCACAAACGGGGCTGCAATTTTCACATAAAATCTGGCCTTCGACTTCAGTTTAAATATACTAGAAAATACCCTGCTGAACCACACCACTCTTTGTGGGGAGTGATACAGGACAACTTCTAGAACTGAAAAGGGGAGGAGGGTCAAAGAAAAGGAGGCTGACCATCTTTATTGTGCTTTCACAGGGTTTGCTGCCTTTAAGAGAACTCCAGCTTCATGATTTGGAAAATCCAAAGGGTGTGCAGCAAGAAATTTTATGCCTTCCAAATTACAGGTGAGAATAGTCTCTGGGGTGCTTTACTACTGGCTTAGGGATGTCAGAGAAATCTGCAAGGGACTCAGATGAGATTAGATATCTAGGAACTTGACCTGCAGAAGCCACAGCATAGCTGCTCCTGAATCTTGCATTTTCCATGGATTTGTGGGTTGATTGCTTTACTTTCCATCCTTTCACACAAATATAGTCATAGGGAGCAGAGAAAAACAGTGCTGACCCAAAATACAATTTTCTGCCTTGAGCTAAAAGCAAGAAAATATGCATTTGGGGGAGATGTGCACATTTTTGGACGTGCAATTGTGCAAGTCCAAAATTGCATGAATAAATTGACTGGAGGATGGAACAAGAAGCACCTGAAGATCTGCAACACAAACCAACCAACCAACCAGCCAGGTGGAATGGATTTAGCAAAGTCTGTACGTCTCCACTCTGGGCTGGATCAGAGATGCCTCACTATCTAGCCCATGTGCCTGGATAAGGGGAGCTCCCCAGCCTCTTCCATGCCGGCCCTTCCTCTGACACCACAGCAAAAGGCTGCAGCATGAGGAGATAAAAAGCCCAGTGCATAAAGGCTGTTTTCACATGAATCCCGCCTGTAACATCCAGTAAACGCTGGCCCATTTCAAGCTTGGGCGCGTTGGCGGACCGAACGCCCTCTGAGGGCTCAGGACAAGAGCCTCTGGAGGTTTTCCTCTTTCTCTTTACTTTCCGTTGCTCCACCCACCTCTCGCTCTGCTCTCAAGTCCCCTGCCCCCCCTCCATCTGACTTCATTTTTATGCCACCAATAGCCAAAGATGGGTCGCAAAGCTCCAGAATGCAACATACTATAACACGTATCACATGCATGTGTGCACCGCGAACAGGTGTCATCGGGGCAACGCTCGCACTTAGCAACCGTTGCCAAGCCACGCCAACGTTCCACAGCTCTTCCGCCTTCTCTCCCCCCCCCCCCCCACTTCAGCGTTCGGCCCTCCCCGCCCCCGTTCGGCACAACTCCCCTTCCGGCTCTTTTCCACTAATGCAGATACTCACCCGTTGCCCTAATCCCGACAGGGGCAACAATTTCGGTCCGTCAGGGCAGGAGGAGCAAACAGGAAAAAAAGGAAAAGAAAACGCGCACAAGCTCACCGACGCGTTCCCAAACTGCTCCTTCCCGCCGTCATAACTCAAACCAGCGCGCCGGAGCCGTCCCACTTGATATACGAAACCGGTGGGAGGAGGAAAGAACGTAATGGCTGGATTCAACTCAGCTTGCTTAGGACCTCTCTGTGTTACACTAATTTTCCTTCTGTGTGATTCCTCATGATCTTGACCGGTCGGCAAGGAGGAAAAAATGGATAAAGATAGTAATTCCCCCTTTTGTGTCGCCTCCCTTCCCTTTCTGTCTCGGCAGATGGTTTAGTCTTAGATAGAGTTTTGGGAAGTTAGTTGCATTAACTTGTTAGAGGAGCAGCACCATCTAGTGGCAGGAGGCCAAACTATACTGATAGAGTCATAGAGCGGCATTGTTTATTCCATAACTAGTATTGATTTTTTTTCTACCGTGCGACACCGAAATGAGGATTAAGTAGGTAGTATCTAGTTTCTGCTGGTTAGTTGCCCGTTAGATGCAAATGTATGCAAATAATCAAAAATTGATTCATCTTCAAAATATATCTGCTATTTATATGTAGTATATTAAATATTATTACAATATTTTTCTTCTTAAAACAAGAGATGGAAACACATAGTAAATATTTTAAATATACCATGCCTTTATTAATTTATTTCAGAAATCTATAACTTGTCTTTTCATTGATAAAAACCCTCATGCTGGCCTACAAAGCAAGAAGGTTTAATCAATGATGTATGAAAAAAGGAGAATTAAGGAAGTTTATTAAAATGCTGTTGATGATTTATAATTGATTTAAAGTTATTGAAAAATTTGTTGATATAGAGAATTATAGTTATTCTTTTTTCAAGCTTCAATGGATTATTGATCCTCAAAAAGCTAGAAATTTTTAGTCTCTTTGGAAATTTGCCGATTATGGATGTATTGATATTGCTTTAAAATCCCTTGGCAATTTCTTCATGTCTTTTCTTATACCCTTTTTCTTTCTGCATCTCATTTAAGAAAACAATAAAATATTAGATTAAAACAAAGAAAAAGTAGAATTATACAATGTAACAATACTTTAAGTACTAGCTTTAAAATATTTATCCAGAAGTAAATCCCACTAAAATCCTCCTTAATGTATTTATTACTTTAAAAAAAGAATGACATAGCTAGCCACAATACACAAAATTAAAGATATACAAAGACAGTGACAACTTCAGCCTGACATCTGAACAACAAGCAACTGCACTTTTAGCTTTCTTATGAAATAATTCCAAAGCTACAACTTCAGAAAAGACCATCTTCAGTGACCACCTCTCTGGAAATAGAAGAAATTGGTGATGAGCTGAGGTTATCTCAATAGGCAGAGATGAATGAGGAAGAAGAGTAAGAATCTGTATGTCGAATTGGACCAGAGAAAAATCCAGACAAAGTAATAAATGTTCTTTCAGTTATATTTTGTAACTCACACCAAGAGTCATTCTGACTAAGGGTGGGATAGAAATTTAATAAATATGTATTGGTGAGATATTATTACTACTATAGCTTAAGTTGACCATCTGAATCTTGCCACTATTTTGAAACAGAGTAATCCAATTCTGGATATTGCTCAAGTATGATTAACTGTGGCCAGACCATCTCTTTCCAGAAGGGGGCGAACTTAGTTTACCAGCTTTTGGTTCATGGTTCTTTTAGCTACTACTCAAGATTTCATAAAAACAGCTGGATGTAGAAGAACCATGTAAGTTGCAAACCTGCTATCTGCAGAGGAGTGCAATCCCATCCAGCTACTGACACTGGTCTGATCAGCCGTCTGTCCAAAGTACTTTATTTATCAATTTATTACTTTCCATTACTGATTCCAGAATAAAGGTCAGATAAGTAGCATTAGTTGTCATCTCCATGTAGATGACACAATCCTACCTCCAGATGAATTGGGAAAAGAGTGGTTCTAATAACTTTCCATACTTTTTTCAGTACCTAAATTATCCAAAAGAGAAACTTGCCATTACTTCAAATTTTACCTGATTTCTCCGCTCTTGTTTCATGTAATAATTTTTGTGATCTTCAACAAGCTCACCCGCACTTCAGAGGTTTCATTTGGAAAAATCACTCCACTCATCATCCCCGGAAAGATTGTAATCCAGCAAAAATGCATTCCATCAATTTAAGCATTTTAATGAATGGATTCAGGATAGGAAAGGAGTAGAAATAAAGCACTGAAGGAACCCTCAAGGCAAATGGAGATGAAGAAAAACTATGGTAACCTGTGGCCCACAGGAAACATTAGAAGACTGTAGGACTTTTGGAATCCCAGCTCTGAAATCAGAAAACAGCTCTCCCTTCAGGGCTAGAACTCTGTTCCCTGAGCACCTCTCATCCCCTGCAGCCAGCTCAGAAAATCACCCAGCTGCTTCTCCAAAGTTGCTTTTGCAATCTTGGAGAAAGGTGTTTAGGGGGAATTCCAGTGGAGAGAAGGGAAGGGAAAGGGAGGAGATGGGTACCCGAAGATTCAAGATATCGTGGCAACACTTCAGCCTCCTTCCCGCACACTGCAACACATTGCAGTTATACAGCCAGCACTTCAGGGCTGGAAGAGCATAGAGGAAACCTCTTTCCACCCTTCGTAAGATACTTGTAATCTTCATGTTTGGAGGGTATAGATATCCTCATAGGATCATGCCCTTACTCCATTTTTGTCAGGTTCAATGTAGGCACATGGATGACAATGCGTAACCAATGGGAGTAATTTGACAGCAAAACCTACATGTATTTGGGCAATACAGGACTTTTCTGCCAACACTGTAGCACATCTATAGAAATATTACTGCCACAGACTTCCAGGCCTGAACTATGTTGGATAAACTTGAGTTAGGAGCAAGGACCTACCATCCTACAGTAGCCAGTGTGAGATATCAATAAATGGTGAATAATGAATACTGGAATTCTTGCAGTAAAAAGGTCAGGCATAAGACATTTACCCTTAAAGAGATTAGACAGCATGGCCTAATTTGGAGTATACAGTATGAAACATGGTGCTTCCTGCACTCAACCCAGACAGGTGATCCAGAAAGATACCATGTCAAGAGCACTGGAAAAAGCAGAACCAGCAAGGATGCATTCCTGTCTTTTCAAGAGCTTATAGGAAACTAAGGCAACCTGCTCAGGTACCTGACCTCCAAAAAGTGGATTAGATGCAGCCCAGCCTAATAGTGAAGCAAAGCAGGGATATTTCTTCAAAGCAGTCTCATCTTCAAGGTGGCAAGGACTATCTCTTGCTCCAAGTAAGTATTTGCCCCTTCCTGGATGGAATCAGTCATTCCCCCTCTAGTTAATGTTATCAACCATACTAGGCAAATATACATTATGCTGGTGGCAGGCCACACTTCTAGTAAACTGTCTGTAGCTCCACTACTGAGAGTCATCCAAATGAAAGTGATCAGGTGGCAGTAAAAAACACTCAGAATCTGCAGTGGATCCAACATGGAGTCCAAGTCAGAGCAGTTGTGAATGATTTAATCCAGAAAGGACCTAGTAGAAGTGTCAGCAAAAAACCAAGGTTTTTACTTGCTCTATTCCTTTCTTACTCTGCAGAGCTCTGACAGACAAACTTGCTGCATAGATGCAAGGCTGTAAAAAGATGTGCTTTGTGGGGACATGCTCCCCTATGTTCCATTAATAGAATGCACTCTGAACCAGTAGAGGTTTCTACAAACAGCAAAGGGAAGGATGTGATCTACATTTGCCATTTCTCCTGCAGCCCCCTGTGGTGCCTCCATGTCACTGCATAGGGCTGGGGGATTTTGGACATTGTGGTTCAACCGATCTGGTGGACACCAGGTTGGTAAAGGCTACCAGGAGGTACATCCAGCTGCTGAAGCAGATGAGAAGGGGGCAATAGAGAGCTGGGGGGGGGAGTCCCCTTTCCCTTTTTACAGAACCTACCCTAGATTCAAGAGCCTTCCACAAATATTTGACATATTTGGATGTTGCTCTCTACAAGAGGCTCCCAGAATGGTTTACCAGTTAAACAAGAGAGTGCCTGCCTGCAACATTTCTGCCGCTTGCTAAAATTGGCATGTTAAATTTTTAACAATGACACAGGCCCACTCCAGCCATTCGTGGGGTCACCAGTCTCCTCCCCAACATTGTGCACTAAAACCAAAAACTACTGCTAAAAATATTCACCCTAAAGGCTATATACATGCAGCAAGCTTGAGGCCTTCTCCCAATGGCCTGCTCCATTTATGTGTATGTCCAAGCTGTATGTGTAACACCCCGTATGTTCTCAGTGTTTATTTATTATGTAAGATTATTTCTATGCTATTCAATTAGATGAACTCTCAGAATGGTTAACAGAATATATGCCAACTTTAGAAACCCAATTGCTTTTATGATGTTCATATTACTGATGTGGTGGCATCACAGCCTTTCTACTCAAGTCTTTTATTGTGTACTTGTGATTCCTCAGTGACAGCAACTTGATATGATTTTCATAACATTCTCCTCCTCCAGAGCCTCTCCCATTCTTCCCAACAGTTTCCTGTGGCTTAAAAAAAGATCAAGGAAAGTCCAGTCTTATATGTGAATAGGGGCATGAAACCCTCTATTTGCACAATTCTGCTACATTCTGCACCACGTAGTGGATGTATAAGAAGGCAGAGAAAGAAAATCCTCCAAAGAATCCAGAAGCAGAAACTTCAGTCTTGTGTAGAAAAGCTCTTTAAATGATTTGCATGAGGCCAAAGTGAGATATGTGAACCCAGGGCTGGCTGACATGCAGGTCTGGGTTACAAGCCACAGCAATATTTAAGATGTTACAACAAGGAAGGGCTATATGTTGATGAATGTGGCCAAGCTAGGTTCAAGGGTAGTGGAAGAAATGTTATCGTGGGGAGAAATCGAGAACTTGGCATAGGTTTGTATCATAACCCACATCAACTGCCTGCTGTTGCAAGGACACCAATTTATACCATCCCACTCAGATGGCTGTCCAGTTTCCTTTTGAATGTCTCTAGTGTGGGAGAGCCCACGATCTCTCTAGGCAATTGGTTCCACTGTTGTATTGCTCTGACAGTGAGGAAGTTTTTCCTGATATCTAGCCTGAATCTGGGTTATTGCAACTTGATAATACATGTCCTACACCCTGGTATCAGCAAGAAGAGATCTTGACCTTCCTCTTTGTGATAGCCTTTGAAGTACTTATAGAAGGGTATCATGGCTTTCCTTAGTCTTCTCAAGACTGAACATGCCCAGTTCTTTCAGCCAGTACTCACAGGGCAGTGTTTCCAAACCCTGGATCATTTCTGTTGCCCTCTTCTGGACCCTTCCTATTTTTTCTGCATATTTCTTACATCTTGGTGTCCAGAATTGGACATAGTATTCCAGATGAGGTCTGACTAGTGCGGAGTATAGAGGAACAACTACTTCTTGTGATTTGGAAGTAATACTTCTATTAATGCATCCCAAAACAGCATTTGTCCTTTTTGCAGCTGCATCACATTGTTGACTCATATTTAGCTTGCTGTCCAAAATAACTCCAAGGTCTTTTTCAGTTCTGTTGAGCCACGTATTCACTATCTTGTATTGATGCATTTGGTTTCTTTTTCCTAGGTGGAGGTCTTGGCACTTGCCCCCACTGAATCTCATTCTGTTGCTTTCAGCCCAGCATTCAACTTTATCAAGATCACCCTGGATTTTCATTCTGCCTTCTAGGGTGTTTGCTATTCCGCCCAGTTTTGTCTCATCTGCAAACTGGATTATCTTTCCTTGTATTTCCTCATTTAAATCATTAAGCTGTTGAAGAGCATTGGTCCCAGTGTCACTTATCAAAACCCTACTAATAGAAGGCTGGGAAATTTTATTTTGCCAACATGTAAGAACTACTCCTGCCTAACAAAAGAAAACAAAATCCAGCAGGGCTGTCTAAACTGGAGATCACCTGTTTCTTGCATTAGCCTCCTGTATGAGTTGGACACACAGTAATAATTAAAGGCCTCAAAAATGAGGTAAGAATATTTGATTTCTTGTGAAATACATTTGCAAACTGATGCTTAAGACACAGTGGTTCATTTCTTTTACAGGATGAGTGAACAATACTGTAAGAAGCATTTCAAGTTCATTTTACAAAAGGTTTACTCAAATTAAATGCAGAAATATTTATTTTGGTTTCCTTCATTGGTTTTTGGAAATTTTGGTTATAAAATATAGAAATAGCCAACACTAAGCAAACATTTCAACTCCAATGTAACAAGTGACTTAATACTCTGGGAGTATTGGCTTGGATACTGGTGTGCAATTATGGTACACATGTATGAAATTATGCAACTGGGTAGTGCATTACAATCACACAATCTTTAGTGCAAACTTTGTTGTGCTTGTTTACATATATTTAACAGGAATTAATGACTGCTATATGGAAAAAACCTCAAGCATGAGTTACAAGGCATCTTAATTCCACCTCCCCCCGACCCCCAAGAAATACAGCCATAGATACGTGGTAACTCAAGTCTCCTTCCCCACCCACAATGAAAGATATCCATATTAAAACTACATCCCAATTCCCTGCCTCTTTTGTACACCTAACCAACTTTTTCACTCTTTGATCCTATCAATTTCATACAGGATACTTACTTTTATTTCCTCAATAGTCTGTGTTCAGTGGAAAAGAAGCAGCAGTTAACTTTGTACAGAGACCAGTAAGTTAAGCGATCAATGGTTACGTCTGCACTGCTATGGCAATCTAGTGGCTAGCAATAAATGAGCATGACCATTAGCCCCAGTACTGGAATTCTATCAACACCCATGTGCACTCTACAACATGATGCTACTATGGTCCAACCATCTGTGGATCTCATGAAGCTGCCACCTTGCATTGCATGGCTAGTTCCATCTAAGCTCCAAGACACCCTCAACTACTTCTAAAGATACAATATCTGATCACCCATCATGTGGTTGGCTGCATTCACATCCAGAAATTAAATAAAACTTCCAAATAGCAAGGAACCAAGACAGCTAAGATTCCACCTAGGTCCTAGACCCAACAAAAATGAAGGACACTCTGTTATCAGCATTCCTGTTATGATGCATTAAAAACCTCTACATACCATACCTTTTAAAATTCACTGGCTGTACAATATACTAAAAACAATAAAATGTGCTAGCAACACATCCCTTTACATGCCTTGGAGAGAGAGTCACATTTTTGGCTGAGGAAGTCTTAAATAACTTACAAATCACACAGATACCATTTACAGTTTAAGGCGCATTGAGGAAGTTGTATGTCGCTATTAAAAATGGTCTGCAACACAAGTGGACTGTAAGGCAGTGTTCCATTTTCCTTCCTTTTTCCTATGTCAAGTACCAATTTGAACACAAGTTAATGATTGCACTGTTTTCATCCCTATGTTTGGTGTAGTCAGTTTATAGATATGACGGTCAATAGCAAATGCCATTCTCTCCAGCAGTTTTTTCCTCAGTTACATATGGATATTAGCATAGAGTTCTTCTATCTGGGGCTTGAAGTGTTTGCGTAGGTCAGATCTCTTTGCCTTTAATGTTGGTGTTAGCAGGCCATTCTCGACCGAGAACATTTCAGAGTGAAGGGCAATACCTTTGACCTGGAAAAATGAACGTTAGTTTAGGATAGTACATTGCCACTTTAGAAGAACAGAGAAAGTGCTGTGCACAGTTTATCCCGTATGGTTCCTCTTAAAGATGCTTGGTAATTTACAGTGTAGTCCAATGTGTCTGCCATAACTTTGAACCCAACGGATTATGGGCATCTGACTGAGGAAGGAGAATGGAGGTGAAGGTTGCCTCTGTACTCCTCCTGCCCTCCAAAAGACTTGGATGGCTGATTTCAGCTTTCTAATTCTTCTCTTCTGGAGGAAAAGGAGGACAGGCTGAGTTGCCACAAGGATACTACATATTATGAAGTCCTTCTCCTCCCCTCAGATTGGTCACAAACCTTTGGCTCCAAGGTCCATCTTCTGACCTTGGAGCTGCAGCCAGTGCAGTTTCCATGACACTGGAATGCACACAGAGAGAGAGTATTTCACAATATCTGAGGCCCAACTCCAACCATAGAGATTCCCAATTCCAACCAAGGTTGGAGCTGGGATTCTAATCTTTCCTATGGCCATCCAGATTTTGACTAGCGCTATAGGATTGCATAAAATATATTTGCATGTTACTAACCTTGGATCTGAGATAAGTACAGTTTCACAAAGCCTACAAATCATTGTTACAAGGAAAAAGCCATCTTTTCCACTCATTATTACAGTAACACGGGAGCAAAATAAAACAAGCTTTCCTAAAGACAGCCTCACAGATTAATTTTTCCTAAAAATAAAGCTTTTATTGATAAATCCATGATTAAAGGTTGCAACCTTGAGTGTCATGTTACACAGATTAAGCAGATTAAGTGGAAATTGTTGTACAAAGCTAGTTGCAGGCACATTTCAGAGATCGTCTTACCTGTTCAAAGGACTTCAAGCCAAAGTCTTTTCCAACTTTCAACATGTCTTCCAGAATATATTTTTTGAGATCCTATCAAGATTGATAAAATAGTGTTACAGAACAATACGGACAGAAGGTATTTTTGAACTATTTTGGCACTATGTAGCAGTATTTATTAGAGTTCTTTATATGCTGCCCTTTAATGAAGCTCAGGGCAGGTTATGTAGAAACAGAATACTAGAGTCTTACACATTGGGGCAGTATGCATACCATGGAAGCAAATCATAGCTTTAATAACCCACAATATGCTGGAATGCTCATTAAAATTAAGTGCTAGGTTGCTTAGCCACTAGACAACTCAATCATCCAGGTTTTCATGTCATGCTCTCAACCTCTGATAGAGCCATCTAGAGGTTGTTTTCAGCATCTCAAAGTTGCTCACAGACACTGTGCATCCCTGCACATCACAATGTGTAAACCAGGTCATTTAGAAGTTGGACAGAGGGGAGAACCACAGCTCCTGACCTCACCCAGCTGGGTAGATGTGCAGTCCAGCAAGGCCAGAAAGGCAAGGCCGGAAGCTGCAAGAAGACTTCTCTCTGTGTTAACCTGTCCATGATTTAAGATTTTAGGATTAGTACCTCAGGTACACTCTGTGAACAAGAGGAGACCTTTCTAGCTTGTGGTGCTCCTTTCTGTAGTACCATACCCATAAAGGTGAAACTGGCAAAATTGTTTTGATGTCAGCTGAAAGTACAAGCCATGACCTAGGCAGGTTGTAGGCGGCTCTACCACAGCAGAGGCATTCAAGATGCACTGAGGCAGAGGGTCTAAGCTGGAGTCCTGCACTGAGTAGGAGGTTAGATCTGATGGTCCTCTGGCCCCTCTCAACTCTACTATTCTATAGTTCTTTGAAAATAATCTAATTCACCCAGAGTATTTTGATCAGCTGATGTTATCTGTCATCAACTTCTTGGTCTTATAATAACATGAATTCAGTTTTTGTTGCTGTAGTTCATTTTATTATACATTACATTTTTAATAGTAATGAATAGCTGAGGTTGTCTGGCCAGTACACAAAACAGAAGTTACAACCTCAAAATATACAAGTGTAATGCAATAAAATATAATAAACCCAGCTACCAACCCGGAATAAAACTAAAGTGAAACCAGATGCTTGGGAAATGAATGGAACCAAAACTATTTTGTTAAACACAAAAACGTTTAAAAACCTGGAAGGAAAAGGTGTTTTCAGCTGGTGCTTCAACTGAAAAGGCTTTCTCCTTACTAGCCAAACTTACCTGTTTGTATACCAGCACCTCAACAGGTTTTAACATGTTTTAATAAATTAGCTAATCCCTAATGCATTAGCCCTATTGTACTGACCCAGAGCAGGGAACCTCTTTTAGCTCAAAACCCAAATTCCATTTTTGGAAAATATCTTAGAAGCCACATTCCAAATATAGGCAAAATCAAAAACAGTGGAAATGGAGCAAGAGGGATGGGCATAAAAATACCAGCATGTTGTAGCTCAAAGCAGGAGCTGTAGTTATTGCTTGTAACTAAACCTTCAGAGAGACAGGTTAAGCTTTTTAAATGGGGGCAAAACTCACAAAATGCTGTGGAATCACTGAACAAGCCATGACTGGAGAGAAAACAGGTGGGGCCAGAAAATGGGGACATGGCATCTGCAGAACACCAGGAGACTGTATGGGCAGGGCAAGCCCAAGACATGTGCTGCCTGAGGTAAACAACAAGATGGCATTCACTCCTATTCCATGTACAAAACCAACAGGGCAAATGAATCTCTTCAACACTGATGATGAGCCCTTATCCTGATGTACACCTGTAGAGAGTGGCCTAATTTTGGGAACAGACAACATGCCACATGGCACACAGGTCTCCCCTATCACCTTGCTTCCACTTCAAGAATCCGCCACCAGAGGCACTGTTTCACTCTGACCAATGAGGAGGCTGGCCCAGTGGACTGGAATTCTAGGAGGCTCTTTATCCCAGCATCCCCTAAAAGGCATAGGAGTGTAGAAAAAGAGGCCTGTAGGATAAGACCTACTTTGTCTTTGCATAGTTCTTCATAAGAGCCGCTCAGTCCTTTTCTCTTAGCCCAGCTGGATAAAACCTCTGGATCTGGTACCACAATTGCTATTAGGAAAGCCTATAATCAAGCAAAGAAGCAGATTTTAGCTGAATCAATCATTTTACAATCAAGAGTCCACTTGAGAAAGTCTCATTGCAAGTTAGAAAAGCAGGTAAACATTTAATCAAACTAAGGATGCAAGACTAAGGATGCAAGTATATGCATATTTAGAAAGAAAAATGTCCTACAACTCCCAGCATTCAGTAGGGATTGGATTGTGCCTGCAGGTCTTCATTTTAAGGACTCAACATTTATGGAGGAGCACTTCCCAGCATGGCTTGGACACTCAAGGCATTGCTATGTGCATGGCTAACTTACTACCGGCCTCTCTTGGTTGGTAGCCTAGCATACACACACAGTTTGTTATTTAACATATTCAGCTATATTCAGACAATAATAAATGAGTCTGGAAAAAAGAAGATTCATACTAAAGATGTTTCTGTTTAAGTAGATCTCCATTTAGTTGATGGAATTAATAATAAATACCTACCTGCAAGCTTTCACCATGGACAAATATCTGGGCAACAGGTTCACTCCTCATATATATATTTTCTATTTTTTCTGGTGCTATATATTCTCCCTGTGCAAGTTTGAATATGTGTTTTTTCCGGTCAATTATCTTCAGGGTTCCATTCTGTAACATTAGACAAAATTCAATCTATTTCAATTCATAAGAAGCACCTTCTTTTTTACAGCATATGCCACTGACTAGAACTCATTGCAGGCTCAAGATGGGAAATGAAGCCTAACATCATCCATTTACAAGTATTGTTCACTAGCAATGACTTTGCCTGAAGAATATTGACAGATGGCAACTCCACAAGTTTATATGATAAGTACAGGGAAGCTACACTTAAAAACAAAGACATGGGAGAGGGACCTCATATTAGGAACTGGTTGGAGGATGGTTTTAATAGGTGATGTGACACTTTCAGGTTGTACCTGGAATTCTTTGCTAAGACTGCTAGAATTAACAAGGAATAGCTGGTGCTACATTTTTGAAAATGCAATTTTGAGTAACAGCTGAATGTTATATTTTCAGAAATGTCATTTCTTCCAACATTAAGACGGCCACTATTCAGTCTCTCACCTTACATTTTCTGTAACATCTTGCCTGAAGACATCCAAAAATTTCCAAAACCTGCACATTTGTTGTGACCTTCAAACCGCTCTAATAAATGTATTACCCTAATAGGAACTGCAGGACTTGGGTATGCAAAAGATGTGTCCTCGTATTTCTGAAGTCAAGCATCTGCTGCCAAACAACACACAATATTCAGGTTTGCCTACCGGTAACCATTTCCCGACATCTCCAGTGTGTACCCAGCCGTCTTTGTCAAGAACTTCTGCAGTCTTTTCAGGATCCTTCAAATAACCTTTGAACACATTTGGCCCCTTTACGCAAACCTGAAATACATGTTATACGTGCTGTGTGAAAATCTGTAGGACAGTTTTCTATTAAGTGTTCCCACTTTAAAAGGGGGGGGGGGTGCAGGAGAGAGTGTAAAGGTCATTCACTGTAGTTAGTGCGTCAATCTGATGGAAATGTTTCTCTTGAATCCATTCCTTTCTAGTGTTATGAGAGGGAGTCCAGGTGCTTCTATTTGACAAGCTACTTGAATCAGATCACAATACAGGGTATTTAAACAAAGCATATTTTTTCCTAATATGTTTCTGTAGGATACATAATGTATTCTTTTCAGAGAGTAGAAGAATGTCCCCAGATACACACCTTGGGTACAGGTTAAGGCAGAGATTCCTGGCATGTCACCATTTCTTGAATTTAGAGTAGTACTTACCTCACCCTCTCCTTTGGCAGCAAAGTAATTCATTTCTTCTACATCAACAAGCTTTATGAGATTGCAAGGCATGGGGGCACCGACGTGACCTATTCATTTGAGCAAACAGTACTTGTAAGCAGGGTAAGGGTACTCAACTGCCAAGCCCACTCCATTTACAATCTTAAGTTTATAAAAGGCAGAAAAGGTACCTTTCAGACTACGTTCTTCATTGTGTTTTAATAGCATTTACTAGTCCCAAGTTTTAAAAATTGACTTTTTAATGTTTAAAGTACTTTGACCCCTTAATGCTGTATGAACAAATTGAGGACAATTTTAAGCTGTTCTAGTTTTATCTCTACTCCAAGAATCCACTCACGCAAACAGGATCTGCAATGTTCTATATGGACATATGAGTTGGGTAGTACAGTCGAACCTCAACTTTGAACCTCGCAGGTTTAACTTTTGCAGGTGGGATTATTTGTGAGTTTGCCATTAAAAATTATGTGGATTTTTTTTTGGGGGGGGGAGCCTACTGCAGCAAATCATCGTCACCCTAGAGAGAGAAGCAGCAAAAGGGGAGAGAAGGGGGGCCTCCAAAACGTGCCTTCTTGCCTTGCCAATCTGGAGAGGGAAATCTCTCTGGCACGTCCTTGGTGCACTGGTGAGTGGAGGGTGGGGAGTAAGAGCATAAGAATGTAAGAAATGAAGTCGAGGAGTCCTGCTGGATCAAACCAATGTCTGAGAGGGAAGAAGGGAGACGCAATCCAGTGCATATATGGTGAGCAAGATTACTTCCCTTTTGCCATGATCCTGTGCCCCTAACCCCCAAGAATGTGGAGGGATGACTGTATACTGGAGTCTACTTTTCAACATTGGCTACACTTTTTGTAGGTAATGCAACTGTGAGAATTGCTATATTAATTATTCCCACATATTACAATATGTGCACTTTGGTGTTTAGCCTTTGAAGATGGATCAAAATTTGTTCTGAACAACTGGAGTCTTACTGCTGTTCTATGCTCTAGAAAGGTTTCTACAGAAATACCTGGGGAAAAGTTGTATGCTGTAAAACAAACAAATTTATACTTTTTTCTCTAAGTAAGAAAATAGCAAAAGAAATCCTGTTAAGAATATATGACACTAAATAGCAAACTCTGACAGTTAATAGGTTGTTCTTTCATTTTTGCCATTCAATTTCCAATTAGGAGTAAAAGAGCTAATTCAAATCAAGGAGGGTTGCTCCAGTAGTCCTTCAAGCAAGTAAGCTGGCTGCCAGAGAAGCTAGAGAGCAGGTCCTCCACCTCCCTTTAAAGATATTGATATACCACAAATGATTAGTGGAAGACATGTGTGGGCAAATAATAAATACTTTATGAGGCTACCATAGTGATTTCCCACTGTGGGACCCCAGAAGTGGGACCCTAGTATGGCCAATGTCAAGCCTAAATGGGAGCTGTAGAACAAAAACAGCTGGAAGCCAAGACTGGGGATTACTGGGCTAACATGAGGCCATGCTGTAAGGTTTACTCCTTTCTTGTTGAACATGCTGTCAAGTTGTTTCTGACTTATGGCGGCCCTATGAATGAACGCCTTCCAAAATGTTCCATCCTTGGCAGCCACCTCAGCTCTTGAAAACTCAAAGACATACTCCTAGTCCATTATGACATTTCCTATTAATTGCTTCATATATTTATACACTTATAATTCTGTTGGACTTTGTTCTTGACTGGGCATGCTTAAAATGTTGTACAAATATCAGTTACAGACATCTTACCAGCAGTCCAGTCCCCAGGTACTGTCAGCGAACAGCCAGCTGTGCATTCTGTCTGTCCATAGCCTTCATAAAACTGATAAGCAGAAAACACAAGTCAGTCATTAGAACCTTCCACCCAAGTCCCCATAACGCTGCTAGAAATTTGTTGTTTCTATGACATAGAAACAAAACTGAAGGCAATCTACAGGACTATCCTGTATAAAATATAGCAATTACTGCTTCTACCCTTGACAAGCCCAAGTAGGTTGAAGTGATGGAATGGTCCATCACTATACCATGTGCTGTTTCCATAAAAAATGACACACTACCAAAAACTAGCCTTTTGGATGGCGTGGCATCTTAATACTGTATATAATACTACAATGGATCCCACCCTGAAATGAATGCATGCACCGTGAGAATTCTTGAAGTATAACAGTTCAAATAGCAAAGCAGCCATTTTTCCTATGGAATTTTTTTTTCTGTGGAATGATCTTTGGCATGTGTTTGTTTGTACTTCTATTGCAAAGAAGTTGGAGGACCTTAAAGTGGTACTTAAGTCTGAATATCCAAGAACTACTTCTCAGGACATGCCTTCCCCTCACTCAGATAATCATACATGGAATGCTTAGTTAAAGGTGAAATTCAGTTTTTTACACTTATCACCTAAGACTATGAATGAAGTATGACATTTACATTCTTAATGTAAATAGTGACAGAGGAACTTTACAAGAGAACATAATATACCAGAAAATCTAGTTAGACTCAAACGCACCTGACAACCCAGAGCTGCTCTTAAGAAGGTCAGTACGTTTGCAGAAACAGGAGCTGCTCCTGTAATCATTAGCCTGACTTTTCCTCCCAGATTTGCCTGAAAAACAAAACACACACACACAATATTTCCATTTAAGTAACAAGAGCAAGGAAAAAGCTGTGATGGTGGCATTTGAGTCATTATGTGGAAACACAGTCAATCCTGCAAGTCACATGGATTATTTCCAAGTATGTGCAGCTAAATATTAATAATTTGACAATTTCTTTGAACTGCATTCATCCTAGCACTCTGATCATACAGTTGTTGTCACGTGAATTTAATATCTGGAACTGCCCCAGGTCACAGTAATAGAATTTAATGACCAGTTCATCCCAAAACTAGGATGAACCTCAATCAGAGCAATGAATGTATAATCTGATCCATTTTGGACAAGGGGAGATGGACACAGTAATGGGGACTAGTGGCATGAATCCATCCATTTGAAATAGATGCTACAGCTATTTGTGAAGGGAATCCCACTTAATATTGCATTATTCCACCGATTCATATAACAACAGTTATGTGCATAACAGGACTTCCATTGTAGTTGAACATCAGAATAAAATAAACTAAACAATGCATTACTAGAACATCCCTTAAAATATTCAATTATCTCTATGCAAGTAGACGTTGAACTGACAAGCTACTTTTAGAGGAACTGCATGCACATATGTAGGTTAAGAGTGATGGAATTTACAGCTCTCACTACAAAAACTATCTAGAATGAGATGCCATCTATGTTGCAAAACCATTGTATAAAAATCTACACAAAGAAAGATCTCCCCCCCCCTTAATTACTTACCCACACAAATTTCTCCCTCACTTCAGCTGCCACATGCAAGCTGTACAGAACAGTTTCTGCGCAGCTGCTTGTGACATCTTGGTTTGGAATGGAATTGGTATCCTGCAAGGATGTTTCATGTAACTTCTATGGGGAAGCCACAACATAGAAGCAGTACTCAAAGTAGTTTTGGCAGGAATTGACAAGACGTGTTCAGAATTCCCTGGGACATGGGATTACCTTAAAAAATAGCAACTTTATACAATGAAAAGCAGGTTGCTTACCTATAACTGATGTTCTTCGAGTGGCCATCTGTGCATTCACACATATGGGTGCTGCGCCTGCGCAGTGCCTAGGCCGGAAAGATTGAAAGCTAACGGTTTTGGCGGGAAAACTCCGCTCCCCTGCCCCCTCAGTAGTATATATAGAGCGGAGTGTCCACCATTTTCTCCAGTTTTTGGAGATTGAATGTTCGCATCCCCTTCCAGTACTGATGTCATAAAAATATGAGTTACTGATGCAGTATTATACGGTACTGATGACGAAACCACTCACCGACACCGAGCAGGGCCGGTGGGTGGGTTGTGTGAATGCACAGATGGCCACTTGAAGAACATCAGTTACAGGTAAGCGACCTGCTTTTCTTCGTCGTGGCCTCTGTGTATCACACATATGGGTGAATAGCAAGCTTACCAGAAATGGTGGTAGGCGGTGTCGCTATTGAAGAATGGCAGAAAGAACAGCCCTCCCGAAGGAACAGTCTCTTCTGGCACGCACGTCAAGGCGGTAGTGCTTCGCGAAAGTACAAGGCGTAGCCCAAGTTGCTGCCTTACAGACATCCTGGACCGGGACACCCGCAGCAAACGCAGAAGAAGCCGACACCGCTCTAGTGGAATGGCTCCTTGGAACAACAGGTAAGTCCATCTTTGAAAGTTGGTACGCCAACAAAATGGTTTGAACAATCCATTTCGACAGCCTCTGAGACAAAACAGGTGATCCTTGGTCCCGCTCAGAATATTTTACAAAAAGCCTATTGAAGTGTCGAAGAGATTCCATGCGCGATCTATAAAAGGCTAAGCATCGTCGAACATCCAAGGTATGCAAGGACCTCTCGATTGGGTTTGACGGCGACAGAAAGAAAGCAGGTAGCACAATTTCTTGGTTCAGGTGAAACGGTATGGCAACTTTAGGAAAAAAGTTGGATCCATCCTCAGGACCACCTTTTCCTTATGGAAGTTTAAGTAAGGTGGATCAATTCGAAGAGCACAAAGCTCACTGGCTCTATGAGCTGAAGTAACAGCAACAAGGAAGGCCGTTTTCCATGAAACAAGAAGCATATCGACAGTGGCTAAGGGCTTGAACGGTGGTTTTGTAAGCGCCTGAAGGACAACCGAGAGGCTCCATGTCAGCATAACCGGCCGAATAGACGGATGGAGATTCTGCAGTCCTTTAAGAAATTTCTAAATAAGCGGTTGCGAAAACACCGACAATCCTTGTACTGTACCTCGATAATGTGACACTGCAGCTGCATAAACCTTAACTGAGGATGGTTTCCGTCCCGAGCGATGCTGGTGCAGCAGAAACTGAAGAATATTCTCAACCGACGCTGTAACTGGGTTAAATGAGCTAGATTCCGCAAAGGATGAAAAGCGGCACCACTTTGCTGTGTAGGACTTTCGAGTTGATGGCCTTAGTGCAGACTCGAGAATCCTTAAAACGTCTGGATCGAGGGAGCTGACAACATTCCCATCAGTACCGAGTAAGTGAGGGGGTCAGACCGGTCATGAGTTGAGGTACTGAGTGATCTAGTAGATCTCTGTCCTGAAACAGTCTCTTGGATCAATGACTCCTCCATGCATTGAGGCTCAATGACAACAAGTTCGGGTGACGGACAGCGCCGTTTTGCTGGGTTAGTAGATCTTGTGTGGTCGGAAGACGAAGGAAATTGCCGTCCGAGATCCGAAGGAGAGTAGAGAACCATGCTTGACGGGGCCACCAAGGTGCTATGAGTATACCTGTGGCGTCGTCGTGCACAATCTTCGAGATGACTTTGGTCGGTAGAGGAATAGGTGGGAATGCGTAAAACCTGAGATTTGTCCATGGGATCATAAGGGCATTATCATCGATCCCGGTCCTATTCCTGCCCTGGAGCAGAATCTTTTGCACACCTTGTTTCTGTGGGTAGCAAATAGGTCTACGTCCGAATGTCCCCACTGTTGGAACAATTGAATGCAGACGTGGTGATACACTTCCCATTCGTGGGTGATAGACATGTGTCTGTTCAGGGTGTCTGCCTCTTTGTTGTCGGTCCCGGACAGATGGACCGCCAAAAGGGTTACACCTCTCGGGATACACCACTCCCAAATGTCCATGGATAAGCGGGCTAGAGCAGTGGACCTGGTTCCGCCCTGTTTGTTGATATAGAATACCGCCACTATGCTGTCGGATGTGATTTTATTTATTTATTTAGAAAATTTCTATGCCGCCCCATTCGCCGAACGAATACCGCCACTATGCTGTCGGATGTGATTTTTATTTATTTATTTATTTATTTATTTATAAAATTTCTATGCCACCCCATTCGCTGAAGCCTCAGGGCAGCTTACAAATAAATCAATTAAAATACTATAAATTAACAATATAAAACAAGTTAACAATATAAAATAAGTCGCCCTGGCCAAAGAATAAAATAAATAAATACCATTAACAGTTAAAATGACGTTTGAATAAAAAGGTCTTCGCCTGGCGCCGAAAAACAAATAACGACGGCGCCAGGCGGACCTCTCTGGGGAGCGCATTCCATAGATTGGGTACCACCGCAGAGAAAGCCCTCCACCGAGTACTTACCCTCCTAATTTCCTTCATGGAGGGTTCCCGGAGAAGGGCCTCTCCCGCTGATCTCAGGGCGCGGGCGGGCATATATGGACGTAAGTGCTCCTTCAGGTAACCAGGACCCAAGCCATTTAGGGCTTTATAGGTCATCACCAAGACCTTGAATTGGGCCCGGACTTCAATGGGAAGCCAGTGAAGCTGACGGAGGACTGGAGTCATGTGAACATAATGCCCAGTCCCCGTCAGCAGCCTGGCAGCTCTATTTTGAACCAATTGAAGTATTCGAACCGTCTTCAAGGGTAGCCCCACATAGCGTGCGTTACAGAAGTCAAGGCAGGAAGTCACCAACGCGTGTGTCACTGTCACCAGGCAGTCGTACTCCAGGGAGGGGCACAGCTGATGGATCAGCCAAAGCTGAAAGAAAGTGCTCCTCGCCACCACTGTTACCTGAGCTTCCAGTGAAAGCTCTGGGTCGAGGAGCACTCCCAAGCTGTGGACCTTGTCCCTAAGAGGGAGTGCAACCCCATTCAGGACTAGGTTCAATTCACCCTCACCGAAGCCCGATCTGCCAACCAACAGGACCTCTGTCTTGTCTGGATTGAGCTTCAGTTTATTGGCCCTCATCCAGCCCATTACCTCGGCCAGGCACCGGTTCAGCACAGCCACTGCCTCACCTGGATTGGTGAAAAATGAGAGGTAGAGCTGGGTATCATCAGCGTACTGATAATTCCGCAGCCCACACCTCCTGACGACCTCTCCCAGCGGTTTCATGTAGATGTTAAACAGCAAAGGGGACAAAATGGACCCCTGCGGAACTCCATGGCATAGCTGCCATGGCGCAGAGCCATAGTCCCCCAGCACCACCTTCTGGAAATGGTCATTGAGATAGGAGTGGAACCACTGCAAAGCAGTGCCTCTGACCCCCAATCCCGCTAGCCTATCCAGAAGGATACCATGGCCGATGGTATCGAAAGCCGCTTATAGGTCCAGAAGAACCAACAGGGACGCACTCCCCCTGTCCTTCTCCCTGCACAGGTCATCGTACAGGGCGACCAAGGCAGATTCAGTACCGTACCCGGGTCTGAAGCCGGACTGAAATGGGTCCAGATAATCAGTTTCATCCAAGAGTGCTTGGAGTTGTCCCGCCACCACCCACTCCAACACCTTGCCCAGAAACGGGATGTTGGCCACTGGTCAACAATTAGTGGCCATCTCTGGATCCAGTGACGCTTTGTTCAGGACCGGTCGGATTACCGCCTCCTTTAAAGGGGCAGGTACCCGACCCTCCCTCAGAGAAGCGTTAACCACTTCCAAGATCCAGGTCCCAATCCCGTGCTTGGCGTTATTTATTAACCAAGATGGGCAAGGGTCCAATAGGCAAGTGGTGGGACGTACTTGTCCAAGCACCTTGTCCACATCATCAGGCCGCAATAACTGAAATTAT